CTATACTATGACGTTTTTTGACATTTTTATGGCATACTATACTATGATGTTTTTTGTCATTTTTATGCCTTGCAATACAATTTCATTTGATGCTTTACCATATTATGACATTTTTATGACCTTTTATGCTTTAATATACTATGATTTTCTTTTGACATTTTATGCCATACTATACTATGACGTTTTTTGCCATTTTTATGCCATACTATACTTTGACGTTTTTTTTGTCATTTTTATGCCATACAATACAATTTCATTTGATGCCTTACCATACTATGACGTCTTTATAACCTTTTATGCATTAATATACTATGATGTTTTTTTGACATTTTATGCCATACTATACTATGACGTTTTTTGATATTTTTATGCCATAGTATACTATGACGTTTTTTGTCATTTTTATGCCTTACTGTACTATGTTGTCTTATTCCTTAACATACTATGATGTTTTTATGACCTTTTGTACCTTAATATACTATGATGTTTTTTTGACGTTTTATGCCATACTATACTATGACGTTTTTTGTCATTTTTATGCCATACTATACTATGACGTTTTTGTCATTTTTATACCTTACTGTACTATGTTGTCTTATTCCTTAACATACTATGATGTTTTCATGACCTTTTGTACCCTAATATACTATGATGTTTTTTTGACATTTTATGCCATACTATACTATGACGTTTTTTGTCATTTTTATGCCATACTATCCTATGACGTTTTTTGTCATTTTTATGCCTTACAATACAATTTCATTTGATGCTTTACCATATTATGACGTTTTGATGACCGTTTATGCATTAATATACTATGATGTTTTTTTGAAATTTTATGCCATACTATACTATGACGTTTTTTGATATTTTTATGCCATAGTATACTATGACGTTTTTTGTCATTTTTATGCCTTACTGTACTATGTTGTCTTATTTCTTAACATACTATGATGTTTTTATGACCTTTTGTACCTTAATATACTATGATGTTTTTTTGACGTTTTATGCCATACTATACTATGACGTTTTTTGTCATTTCTATGCCATACTATACTATGACGTTTTTTGTCATTTTTATGCCTTACAATACAATTTCATTTGATGCTTTACCATATTATGACGTTTTTATGACCGTTTATGCCTTAATCTACTATGATGTTTTTTTGAAATTTTATGCCATACTATACTTTGACGTTTTTTTGTAATTTTTATGCCTTACTGTACTATGTTTTTTTATTTCTCACCATACTATGACATTTTTATGACCTTTTATACTTTAATATACTATGATGTTTTTTTGATGTTTTATGCCATACTATACTATGATGTTTTTTGTCATTTTCATGCCATACTATCCTGTGACGTTTTTTTTTCATTTTTATGCCTTACAATACAATTTTATTTGATGCCTTACCATACTATGACGTTTTTATAACTTTTTATACCTTAATATACTATGACGTTTTTTTACATTTTAATGCCAACTCTACTATAACAATTATGTATAATAAGGCAGAAAAACGTCAACATTTTTATTACATACTACCGTATGACAATTTATGCCTTACTGCCTATACTATGACGTTTTTTTGACGTTTTTATGCCTTACTATACTATACATTAAATGCCCTACTATACTATCACTTTTTTGACATTTTTATGACATACTATACTATGACTTCTTTTGAAATTTTTATGCCTCAGTATAAAATTATATATTTTTTTATGCTTTACTATACTATGACGTTTACTGATGTTTTTGTGCCTTGCTACACTATGATTATGCCTTGATGCCTATGACGTTTTTTAAAATATTTTTATGCTTTAATATACTACGATGTTTTTTGAAATTTTTATACCTAACTTTAGTATCATGTTTTGTTGCGCTATTGTACTATGATGTTATTTGATATTTTTTCGACTTAATATACTATGAAATTTTCATGCCATACTATGATGTTTTTTTCAAAATTTTACGCCTTATTTTCCTGTGAAATTTTTATGCCCTACTGTAGCATGTTGTTTTTTGCCATTTTTTACACCTTATTATACCATGAGGTTATATCGGACTTCTTATGCCTTAATATACTATTGATGTTTTTTGTTTTTGTTTTTTTTTTGCCATATTATACTATGATGTTCTTTGACAATCAAATTTCTTACTACACTACATTGTTTTTTGACATTTTCATGACATACAATACCAAGGATTTTTACGACATACTATACTATGATCTTTTCTGACTTTTCATAGCTTACTAAGACGTTTTAGGACTTATCGTGGTGTATCATTTTATTTTTATTTTCGTATTACATTTACACATATGTGTCTATGTTTCATATTTACACATATAACATGCACATATACTGACAGACGTTGGGGGGGATATATATTTATGTAACATATTTCCAAAATAATAAACTTTATAATAAACTTTATTAATATGGCATTTTCCCTAACGTTACAAAGTGCTTTACAGAAAGAAGAAAGGGGAATTAAAACAGCTATAAAAAACAAGAGAAAACCAAACACATCATGAAACAGAAGTAAGTTACATGAAAATATTGACTTAATAAAAAAAAAACACATCAACATATCAAACATTCATAAAGGTTTTCCAGATAAAAAAATGTTTTCAGAAGAGTTTTACAACAAACTAAAGATGCAGCCTTTCTCATCTCAGTGGGTAGAGTGTTCCACAGTTTGGGGGCTCTTGCAGCAAAGGTCTGGTCACCTTTTGTCACCAGCCCAGTCCTTGGAATAACCAGCAGAACTCCCTCCACTGATCTAAGTAGATTCCTAGGCACATATGGGGTTAATCAGTCCTTAATATAATTTGGAGTGAGGACATTTGATGCTTTAAAGGTGACGAGTTGAATTTTAAAATTAATCCGGAATGTAACAGGCAGCCAGTGGACGTTTGCAAGTATTGGAGTGATGTGTTCATGTCACTTAGTGCCAGTTAATATTCATGCAGCAGCGCTCTGTACTAGTTGTAGTCGGTGGAGGGAGCTCTGACTGATGCCAGCATAAAGTGCATTGCAATAGTGCATGGTGAAGTGTGCATAATCCTGTGTAATTTAGTTACAAGAATGGTCTGATTTTGACAATCTTTTTGAGTTGAAAAAGACATGACTGGACAACATTTTTCACTTGTGCATCAAAACTAAGATTTGTATCAAAAAATGCCCCAATTCTAGCAGAATGCTTGATGTTTTTGGTCAATGAATTACGCTTACTGTGAAAGAGGCTGGAAGAGGCAGAATTTGTAGGACCAAGTATTATGACTTATCATTATTGAATTTTAAAAAGTTTTAGGACAGCCAAATTTTAATATCACTGAGACAGGCAAACAGATTATCAAAGCTGCTGGGGTTATTGGTTTAAAGCGGGACATATAGCTGTATGTCATCTGTGTAAGAGTGGTGGGAGATACCATGGTTCTTAATGATCTGGGTGAGAGGAAGCATGTATATTGAGAATAGTAGAGGGCCGAGGACAGAACCTTGAGGAACACCACAGTCAAAATGGGTAGCAGAGGAAGAAGCATTTGCTATGACAATAGAGAAGGTTCTATTGGAGAGGTTTGATTATAGTAGATTTGGAGCAGTTCCCTTAAGACCAACCCAGGTTTCTAGACCATGAAGGAGAATGGAATGATCAATTGTGTTAAAGGCAGAGTCTGAATCCAGAAGTACCAGAACTGAGTGGTCACCTCTATCAGCTGTTAAAAGTAGTTCATTTAAAATCTTCATGGGGGCAGTGTCTGTGCTATGGCAAGATCTAAAACCTGACTGATCAAAAATGTCATTACTATTCATAAAAGATAGTAGCCTTTACATTATCACTCCAGTGCAGCTCAACAGGGAAATACTGTCCATTTCAGTCTGCTGAAGTCTCATATACACTGTTACACAGAATGAGGACTGTGTATCTTGTCTCCCATCCCTTCAACTGGATGCAGAATAGAAAGGAATCTCCTCATGATTAGTATGGACAAGAAAAATCATTAGATTGAAAAAGTGTTCATAAGGTCTTCTGAATATTGTTTTAAGACAGTACGCGTTTACCACAAGTGAAGAAATAAATACCTGTAGAAAGCAGCACAATAGTCAAATTGCCAATTAAGCAATACACAAATTTAGAACACTAGCATTTTGTAAGTGATACCTAAAAATCAAAATATAATAGCAACTGTGGAAGAAACCTTAATCTTCTCATTTTTTAATAAAATGTTATTGTAACCCTGATAAAGGGGGAGAAAATGCTTTGACTGATAAGAAACAATTTGAACTTTAGTCTGTATCCAGGTTTTGCATCATGCAAGAATGAGGAAACTGCAGGAGGTGTAGTCTTGTTATCACAGCTCTCAGTCTGCAAACTGTAATAAGAAGTTCTCATTTCAGCATGTTTAAGATAATTGGTGTGAACAGAGTGTTTTTTATGTCTTGAACTTGTGAGCAGGTTAACCTCTACATCAGTGAGGTACATTGTTATTCAGGCTTGAGCAGATTGTCAAACTGGACTTCTAGTGAGAACCTGTCATTTAGTTCTGCACCCTGCTGTCATGAGGAAAGTTAACACACAAGTAAATCAACCAGAGTGCAAAAAAATACAAGGCAAACAACTGAGTGGAAAACTAACAAACAACCACTGGTTTTCTCGTGCAATAAAAAAGTGCAGTAACACCTGTGCTTTTATGACAAATCAAAGTGTCTGCTGTGAAAAACCTCTATTACATTTTTGAAAAAAAAAAACTAACACAGATATATCATGACATATACATAAGTGTCAATGGACATTTTGAGAGGCAAACCTTGTTGGTGCCTTTCAAACAGAAGAGGCAGCATCAGCCACTGAGAATGTAACAGAACCAGTTTGTTCTTTTCCAGCTTGGTGGCTGACTGCAAGTCAAGTCAAATCACGGAAATGAAGAATAAATGTGTTTTGCAGCTGATCTTTCACTCAGTTAGTGTGGGTGTAGACTGTGGTGCTATCTGATCTGCTCAATCACATATGCTACATGATGTTACAGGTAACGATAGGCTCATTAGTTTTAGACTCACACTCAGCAAAGAAGAACAAACAAACTTCTGCTCCGACTGACTGCTGAGAGGAAAGGTGTGTATGTACATTTATATGTAGGGGGGGGGGTCAAAAAATTATCTTATTTGTTGAAACTATTTTGTCGCAGCTTGTGTAACATATTGTGTGGCATCTATTAGCATTAAAGGTGCGTTTATGAACAAAAATGCTTTACCTTTATACTAAGCCTGGAATTGACCACATGATTAAGTAGGCTACATGAAAGTCCTTGGTTATTAGAAATCCTATGTAATAGGAAAATAAAATATTTTCATCTTTCCTAACAGTAGTGTCAGGAAAACCCTTTTTTTTAATGTTAAAATTCATTTTCACTCAGTATTTTGTAAAAAAGATTGGAAACAAAAAAATTTACAAACAGCTGACTATTTTTGAAATTCAACCAATGCTGAACATGTAATTTTACGATTTAAATACCACTGAATTAATGGCACTAAAATATTTTATTTTGAAAAGCATTAACCTGAATTTATGTAGTCTATTTCTTCAAAAATTATCAATGCGTTAGTTCAAGTTTTGCAATATGAAAAACTAAATATAGGTTTTTTAATATTTTACCTGAATTTGTGAAGCCTACCAATACTTGAAATTACCTGCTTGAAATATTAAAGTATTTTGCTTCTTAAAAGATTCAAAGCCTCATGGTTTTTCCTTTGCACACTTTGTGTTCAGGCATATCACATTCATTCCTCCTGCAGGTCAGCTGGCAATGGGTGGAACTTCCTCTAAAAGAGCCTATTTTTGGCAAAAGAAGAAGAAGTCGTCACCTGTGAACAAAGCCTGGAGTCAACTGAAGGGGGCGCTACCCCATAAGAAACGCAAGAGGAAGAGTCTTCTGTCCCTGGATAAACTAAACCTGGATAACCTGAGGAAGGAGAAGCATTCCCAGAAGAGATTCTCATTGCCAACAGACAAGAAAGAACCGATATCGCTGAAAAGACTCTCACTTGCTAACGTGAGGAAGGAATCAATTCAGACTGCCTCATCAAGAAAGAAGGAGAAGGATGTAGGAGGGCTGGGAAAAGTAGGAGAGCAGATAAAAAGGAAATTTTCTCAAGAGCCTATGAAGGGGATCAGCACTCAAAAAGAGGTTGTTCCTTCCTCTGTGAACCTGAAGGAAACGGTCCAAAAAATGCAGCAAAAGAGTCCAAAAAGAAAGTCAATGAGCTCATGAGATCCATTCGTCCAACAGGATCCAAAGCAAATGGACAATTTAGAGCAAAAGAATCCTGAATTTGGTTGGAAGACAAAAGAAAAGACGTGAGGTCACAGTCAGAGAAGAGTCAGAGAATTTCATGCTTTCTTAGTTTTTAATGTCACAGTCAGTGTCATTGTCAGGTGATCATGGCTGAAAATGAGACACGGGAAACTGAAACACCTTGATGTCAGTTACACAGTTGTAACATTAATTAGCTGCAATACATTTACCATAAAGCTTCACATCACTTGTCACGCTTCTCCTGTTTGCCCTGTCATGCTTAACAAAAAGCTAGTTCAATTTTTTACATTTCTGGGTATAATCCTAATGAAAAATGCCTAGCTTTATTTCCCTTTATGGTGTATTTTAAGTTGCCTCTGATGACAAATCTGCTTAAGTGCACTAAATACTGTACATAATATCTATTACCATAATGTGATCATAAATAAAGTCTTATATCACAAACAATTTACGAAGGCAAATAATTTCATTCCAGCATATAGACAATTTACATGACGCGAACACCACAGTGTTAGCAGCGTATAGTGACAAAAAATAATTACATTTTACAAAATAAAACCTGGAGGAAGGAGCAGTTTAAAGCATAAAATCTATAAAAATAAAAACAAAAAAACTGTATATGATGATTCTTAACCACAGCAGAGGTTCCTCCCTTCAGTTTGTGAAGGGGTAAATGTCTATTTTGGGGTAAAAACTTCAAATATCCTACATTTAAAATTTTGTAACAATTTAACCAGAATCATAAACCAAAGATGATGATTCTAAATGGTCAACAAGTAAATGGGGGAGGGGGCTTTAAAGAGAAATACTTGAGCCTTTACAAGATGCACTTTAAAACAGCGCTATGAATTCTAATTAAGGATAACGTTAATAAATTATTTAATAATGCTTTTAGATCAGCAATAAGCCATTAATATTAATAACTTTTGTTGCTAGGTTGTGACGTTGGTTGGTGTTTATCGTCTTTCAGAATAATCTGCTCTATTTTAATCTTTGTAGTTAGTTCTTTAATTCATCTTGATGATTAACGTGAGCAAAGCGATGGTCACGAGTTTAAAACTTAATAGAACACCAACAAATTTGACATTACATCTGTAGTAAATGATCCATGAGGTCTTCAGTATTTTAATGATCAAATCAAACTAACTAACATTCATGGCACTACTGATAAACTTAATTGGTGGCGGGCAATTAAAAAAAAAAAAAAAAAAAAACTTGCAAAAGGTATGATGAGGCACATGCACCTGACATAACACGGGCCTGAAGGCATATTGACTGACTGCAACCAGGAGGCCAAGAAAAGGCCTGAATAGGGCTTAAAAAGGTCATTGGACGATACATTTGAGGAAAAAGCAGCAACAGTAAATATTATGTTCTTCATAAATGGATTTTGGTCTGGATGCTGTGAAGCTTTGCAAATGTCCAAACTGCCATAAGAAGTTATTCCTTCATGAATTTAAGAGCTTGTTAAAACACTGAGCAAGTTTTTCACAACCTGGCAACCCAAATGTTGCTCATAAGAACAGCCTATGAGTAATCAATAAAGCACTACACAATGATTTATTAAGAATTAACAAATTTATGAAAGTATGGAGTAGAGTGGTACTGGGTCTCCTCCATGAGGTTCAGTGGCATTTGTGCAGTGTCTTATGAGCACATGAACCCTGGCAAAATCAGATTTCAAGTCTATACACACCCAGTCACCAGTTTATTAGGTACACCGACCTATAACTAAAGCAGTCCTGTGATAAATCCTCCCTAAAAGTCAGTTTGTGTTTAAACTGTTCTACATAGGTGCTGATTCACCTGTAAGATCATTTTGGAGGGCTGCAATTCATTTATTCTATTTTACTGACAGGTGTTTCTATTATTTTGTCCAACCCATTTATATCAATGAGGGGAGGCTAAATAATGGAAACAGCTTTCTGTATAACGCAGCCTCTGAAATGATCATACAGTTGAATAAACGCCTCTCTAAAGCAGTTACATCAAGAGCTCAACATTATAACCTGTGTCTAATAAACTGGCAAATGAGTACACACAAACACACACACACACACACACACACTAAGCCAACTGTGGCACTCCAAAGGGCACATATTTCTGCTATTTAACAGTCCACACACTTTGAGTCATTTCTTCCTCTCACTGCCAACATGCTCCAGTTGTTCAGCAGCCGTCTGTGCTGCGTTAGGGGAAAAAAACTGGCAGGTTGTTTATGTCCAAACAGGAAATGTCAGCATCCCCCACGTTGTGTAAATGGCCCAGTGATGTGGAGTTTTCCTCTCTATGTCTGCGGAGTACAAATGAGCCACTTGCGTCCGTTTAAATTAGAAGATTCGTGCAACATCATCGGCCAAATGATACTAGATGTTCATCAATTCTTCTCAGCTTAGACACAAGCAGAAAAAAAACTCTTGTCCTCTGGCAGCAGAGGTAAAAATCGACAGTTTTTGATCCTGCCACAACAGTCCGCCTGCTGAGGAGAAACAGGCCTTGAGGCTTGTTTATGTGTGCATACACAGATCTGTACATTTCACTGTCAAGTGTGTGCATGCTCTTCTTCTGTGTCTGTTGAAAGTTTATTGTTGCTCAAGTTAATTCCAGTTTTCTGAAGAGGCAGGTAAGTCTTCTGAGCCTTCGTGGATGAGAGGCGTCCCGTTGCTCTTCTCTACTGGCTCAGCAGTACGAGACTTATAGTTCTACAGACAGAGGTGGAGAAACAGACCAAAGTATGAGGGAAGGGTTGAAATGAGGTAAAAGGTGCAGCAGAAAGTAACAGGAAGTGAAAAAGAAAAAAAAAAGAAAAGAAAAAAGAGAGATTGGGTTAGTCATGTCTAAATTTGCAAAACAAAGCTAAACCAGCTGAGATAAAACAAAAAAAAAGTTAAAAAAAAAAAAAAAAGATATGAAAGACAGTTTTAACCCTGATACTGTTCCCACACAGAACGACATGATTCACCAGTTTCACCAGGTTAATCACACAGAGGAGCAATCGCAGTGAAGAGCAGACAGAGCAGGCAGCGGACAGACGTGAACAAACAAATCACAGCTGTAGGCAGATTTATACATTTATTCAGATTACTTTTAACAATGCGTGTACAAAAATAAACCCATAATAATATGAAAATGTTTCTGAACTTTCAAAACAATACCACAGTTTGCTTATATTCGGTAGTAAGTATGAACAGGATTTTTTAGAAATGTGAAAAAAAAGAATATAGTTTGACTATACTTTCATCCCTTTAACAGCTTCTTGCAATGGCATTCCCTTTAAGAGTACTTACACTTAATAATTTACAGTTATCCAGAAATATCTAACTTCCTTTTAATCATGAGTGACTGCATATCTTAGTATCAACACACAGGGAGGTCAAGTGCATCTGACTTCTGCCTTCCCCTACAGTCCCAATGTCACTGACAAAAAAATGTGTGTAAAACGTTTCTGTGAATGATTGTACACACTAAGATATACACACACGCACACGCGCGCACACACACATGAAACAACACAGTCATCACTGCAATACGAGCAGCATTAACGGCAGCTTGTGTGTGCGCGCACGCGTGTGTGTGTGTGTGTGTGTGTGAGTGAGAAAATGACAGTGTGCATGCCTCCAACATGCACACATGCCAGAGTAACAAGTCAGAGGAAATGTGGCAAGGAGCACAACCCACTCTAACTACGAGCGCACATCTGGACCAGTTTAAAGCTGTACTACACGAACACACACATGCACATCAGCAAACAGCACAGAGAACACAGAAACCGTGCACTTCGTGTAAAATGTAAAAATAAATGTTCGCATGAGGCAACAGGGTATTTCCAGGCATTTGGGTAATGTGAAAAAAAAAGAAAGCTTTTTATAGCACGAGGCAGCGTGAGTGCTGAGGCATCGTTTTATGAGATCTGAGTTTGATCGAGGTCGCTCTCCTTGATGTCGTGCTAAAGTTTGCCTCACGCAAAGTTCGACATCCTGGCTAGATGAATGCACATGTGTGTGTAATTATATTAGTGCCACACTTCTGCATGCACATTTGCACACACACAAATTATGTTTTGTGGAGAAATTATTAATAATATTTTCAAGCAAAGAGCAATCGCAGCTGGCGATATAGACTTTACATACTCCAGTTTTTAGCTGCAATGGTGGCCAACAGTAACACTCTGCCAGGCCGAGTGACTGCACTGGAAACATCGAGACCACAGACCACAGGATCGAGAGAGGGCAAGTAGTTACTGTTGTACCCTTATGTGAACCATAGCAAAATGCACAAATACATTTATTGGGCAAAGAAGTGAGGTGTTTGTGCAAAATGAATTAATGATAATTTCTCACCAAAACATAACTTATGTGTGTGTGCAAAAGAGTGTTTCTGTGACCAACATGTGAGTTCAGACACAAATGTAATGCTGTATGATGAAGGTAGAGGGGAAGAAATACATTACGCTCAACCAACAAAGACTGTATAACTATAGTAAAGTCCAGCAATTAAGAGTCTGCACACCCAAATCAATCTGGATACTGCTGTAATTCAATACGTCAATACGTCGATACTGACATATTGATTATTACCAGAGATCACTGATGGACGATACGATCGCCTCCATATTTTTCACTCATAATGGCACATTTCACTGAAGGCCGGGCGAGTCTGCAGCTGTGTACGTGATTGAACACACTGACACTGAAAGAACAGAGTCAGAAAGAGCATGTGGTTCATTTGAGTGTGCAGAGTTCTTGCTGAACCTATGTACATACAAGTGTTGCGGGTAGCCACATACACAACTGTGACACTATACAGTCTTCCCTACTGTTTGAATGGCGTTATGATCATGAAGAAATTTATTTTGATTGAAAGTGTGCAACAGGAATTGAAAGACGGAAACACGCAGATCTGAAACTTAACAATAGGCTACATCTGACAATGTTTGAAATGCGTTCGTCAAAGACAAGCAATCTTTAACACGTTAACCACACAGTCAGTGTTCGGTATTTGTGACCTCTGTAAGTGCTACATATATTCTCTGCTTTTTTTTTCTCACCAATTCACACGGTATGCGGCTTTTTGCAAGCGACAGTGAGCAGACTTCAGTACGTCTTCGAAGCAGCACAATGTGCATCAGACTCCAGGCAGTGCAGTTAGATATGTAGACGAAAAAAGCATCAGCCTGGGGTTTATAGAGTAAGGTTTTACATTCAACATAGTTTTGCTCTTGTTACCTAATAAGCAGAAGCGTGTTTGCTTACATTTGCTCAAGCAGAGAATGAAAAGGAAGATTAACATTTGAACTGTACTGACTTTACAGTTTTACTGCACATGACTCTTGTACACAAACCAGTCACTTTTAAACAATCACACACATTTGCATCCAATGTTTTGTGAACAGTGGCTCTGCTTGTAAAAATTATTATTTGCTCGACTATTCTGTTAATGATTTTTAGAGAAAAAAAAAAGGAGTGTGCAGTTTAAATTGTCCTGGATTTTATGTCGCCACACACCCAAAAGTTGTTTTGTTTTCTGCTGCAAAACGACGCTGACCACTGCGGCTAGAATTACCAGCTCGTGGTTGTACGCCTCCCCCGACCGGTCAAGCTGACATATAGTCCCAATCTCCGCTTCCTGAGTTATAGTGTTGAATAGTGGCCACAGGTGTTTTTATATAAACATTGTGATGTCACAGTGAAGTTGACATTTGACCATTTGGATATAAAATGTCATCACTTCATCATTTTATCCTATTAGACATTTGTATTAAATTGTGTCATAATTAGCAGATGAATGTATGAGTTATGGCCAAAAATGCGGTGATCTTGAACTTTGACCTTCGACCACCAAATTCTAATCAGATCATCCTTGTGTCCAAAAGGACATTTGTGTTAAATTTTGAAGGGATTTCCTTGAGGGGTTCCTGAGATATCGCGCTCACAAAGCCAAAAACCGTGTTTTGTGAGGTCACGTGACCTTGACTCTCTTGAGCTACGGATGGACGGACAACCTGAAAACATAATACATCCCGCCCTAGTTTTTGCTGGCACGGAGGCAATAAAGAGGAACTTCATGGAGCATGAAAACCTCAGCTCAAAACTGAACAAGAAAACACAGGGAGAAAAACGTTCTCTGAACTCAAACTCATCATAACTGAGTTTCTCTGGCCACTTGTGAGAAACAAAAACTAGTTCTGAACACAGCACTGACATATCATCACCTTTTGAGTTGATATGGTGAACTGGTTCGCAGACAGATGCTTATCTACACATCCAACATTAGAATTAATTTTGAGTGAAGTTTATGTCCTTTTATGTCAGCTGTTCACTCTCTTAACTTTCTGGTCTCTAGCAACTGCTGAGGGAAACATCCGTCTCTGTAGCTGCTGAACGCTCCACTGTCACTTTCACATTGTCACATTTCATTTGATACATGTCATTGTTTAAAAAAAAAAAAAAAAAAAAAAAAATGTTGATTAAAGCCGCTTTAATGGAACTATTTTTTCAAAATCTGATTTGCATCTGGATGTTTTTACTTTTCAATAATCAAATTTTACATATTTTTTTTTGTGTTCAATGATTTTCAGATTTTTAGGAGCGAAAGGAAAAACTGAAAACAACGAGCAGCACTCAAATACAACATGAAGTTGTTAAGTCGTGCCGGGTTGTCAGTTTTTCGTAGCATATTTTTCAAAGTGTTTGATTGGAGGTTGTCATGGTCGTACTATGTGGCGAATAGATAATGATTGTCATTGGACTACAGTCAGTGTGCTCTCAAAGGTTTATAATTTACAGTCCTTAGTGCGAGTGGTTGTTTTGTTTGTGATTGCTGTCTTCTTTGTCGTTGCTCTCAGACAGTACCTCGTGCTCCAGGGTGTTAAAGTGAGCTCCAGAGTTGCCCTGGTGGTTGCTGCTGCGCTGGAACAGGCAGCACAGGATGTCCCTGAAGGTCCTCCTCATGTCTTTGTCCCTGAAGGAGTAGATGATGGGGTTGACGAAGGAGTTGCACTCGGCCAGCACCAGGCAGTACTTCTCGTAGCGTAGCACCTTACACTTTTCACAGCCCAGACCGTCGAGCAGCAGCACGACCAGGCCGGGCGTCCAGCAGACCACAAAACAGCCTGCAGGGGTGGAGGGTGGAGATCAAGGATACAGGAGGTCATTACAAGACTTGCAATAACATTGGAAATCAACAAGAAAAATCACAGATAAAGAAGGAGTTATTCAGAGGAAAGAAAATGAACAGAGTCGTAAAGAATGTGAAGAAGTACAAGTAGGGGGTAGCTAAGGGAGTAAGGGAATGTACTGTAAATTCCTCTGTACACAATACACACACACACACACACACACACACACACACACACACACACACGTCAGCATGTGGACTGGGTTTAGTCTGTATGATCACATTTCATTATGATAATACTCGATTAGGCAGCTCAGGAATTCATTATGTCCACACATGCTCAGCATGTACAGCACTAATACATGCACACGTACAAGCTACAGATGGAAATGTGAAAACAATGTGGTAACACACTCTCACAAGCACAATGTGCAATGCATTCATCAGCCTTTGACTATAGTTTCAACTGTTACAGCTACACGTCTCAAGGTCAGAAGCTCAAGTCGGTCCTCTCAAACATAGAAACACAAGATAACACACCCTCCGAGCGGTGTCATATGGGCAGGAGAGAAGCTGTTTTCTGTCACAGTAACTGAACTATGCGGCTCCCTGTCAGGGCATGCTCAGGGTTTTCCTCGCCCTCCTCACATGCCAGAGGTGCTGAATCCTGGCTGCTGAGTGACGGGAGAAAGACATGTAACATTTTTTTAAAACTTAAGAGGAATTTAATCGAAAGTTCAAAATGCAAGGGCAGAAGCAGAGGAGGCTGGGAGGAAAAAAAAAAAAGAAAAGAAAAAAGAGGGCCAGAGCCAGTTCAGCATAAAAACAAGGAATTGGTGGGAGACGGAGGGATGAGTGAATGTGTGTTGGGAGGAAGTTTGGTTTAACAAGTACAGACAAGCTAAGAGAGGAGCCTGCATGGCAGCCTGTACATACTTGTAACAGGCTGTGGGTGTTTTTATTCAGTGAAGATTCAGGCAAATATTCCCCCTGAAACCTGCTTCCATCTTGTCAAATGAGCAAAATACAAGCAGCATAGTGTCTGTACAATCAACAGCCCCCAAAAATCACACTTCAATCATCTTGTTACTGTCAGCGATGAGGGCTTACATGAAGAGAACATTACCTGCTGAAGTTGAAACCCCCCTCTGATCTCTGTGGTTTGTCTGTGCTTTTCTTGCAGGTTTGAAATTGATTTGAATAGCAAAGATTACAATGGGTATTTCCATGCATCACGGAAATGCAACTCTCTGTTACCTCAATGGGATGGAATCTATACTACTTTATTACAGAGAAATACTAAAGTCTTTAGGTGCTTAAGGGAAAGTTCTTTTTACACCAGTTTTCATTTTATTACTTAAGAAAAAGCTGATCACTTAACACCCAAAGGTTGTGGTGTTTCCTGCTGCAGATGAGTGAGGTGTTACACATGATGAGCTCTTATCTACACCTACGGTGTCAGAGTTGAAAATTTTTGACTGAACGACCTGAAGAATCCTGCACACTGATCGATTTTACTTGACGAAGGTCAGAGGACGGAAGCGTTGTTCATAAAGAAGAAGAAAAATGCGGAGAAAATAGTTTGTGATTGTGCATCAGAATCCTTCAATGTTAGTTAAGTATTGTTGAATTAAAAACAAATAAATTCCCAAAAACAAAACATGTGAATAAAATGGATTTGTGCATGGGGCTGGACAACATGATCTTAAAGGTATAATTAACTGTAATATTTATCTTGGTGTATATTAAAATCTTATTAAATAGACCCGCTCAAAGGACGCTCAATTAAAACAGTGGATGTTGTATTAATTAAAAAAATGTAAAATGTCAGGAATTAAGACTCTTAATAATATTTAACCTACTCAGTATTTAAGAACTCCTTCAGGAAGTGGTTTGCTAAAATATTAAAAATGTCCACCCACTGATGATGACTGAGATGTGGCTGAAAGCACTCGACTTTCTCTGATGACAAAGCCCAGTCAGACAGTGAAAGTGAGTGAGTGAGTGAGAGTGTGTGTGTGTGTGTGTGTGTGTGTGTGTGTGTGTGTGTGTGTGTGTGTGTGTGTGGCCTCACCCAGGATCATGGAGACGGTCTTCATCAGGTTGAGCACCGTCTCCTTGTATCTCATCTGGGAGGTGTGCTGCGACATCTGCTTGCTCTTGTGCCTCACGTAGACAAATATCCGGGTGTAGACGGCCACCATGATGGAGAAGGTCAGCAGATTGAGAAGGGCCCAGAACACCAAGTAGCTGCGGCTGTACATCGGGGCCATGGTGGAGCAGTTCGGCAGGTCACAGAGACAGTGCCAGCCCATGGTGGGAACCAGGCCCATGATTATCGCCACCAGCCAGATGAACAGTATGATGATGAAGACCCGCCGGGTGCTCATCTTGCTGTGCAGCTGCATGTTGAAGATGGTCTGGTGGCGTTCCACGGCCACGGCCAGGAGGTTGAGGACGGAGGCTGTCAGACTGGTGTCGATCAGCCCCTGCCGCACAAACCACTGGTGCTTAGACAGCTTAATGGTCCAAGGACCGGTATGAAACATCAAGTGGAGGTAGGAGATACCTGGGAGGAGAGTGAGGATTTTATTACGGAGAGATTTTAAAACAGAGCAGCAAGACACTTCGAGTTTGTCCCAGGCCTGTTTCACATCTTCACATGCAATATGAGGAAATGATGAAAAGAGACAATTTAGCTCAGCTCTTCAGACACCTGCCGTCACAAGCTCAAAAAGGAGGTAAAACTTTGTACTGATGGTTTGTATTTGCAGCTTTATCAGTTCCAGTATTAAGAAACATTAGATTTTAAAAAAGGTCCTATTCAGTTTCCATTAGTATGAAACCACAGCTGCAGCTGCAGAAACAGTAGTTCCAAGGGACAATGGAGTAATCAGGAGATCTTATACAATGGCTTTGAAAATATTTAAGAGAAACTCACTAACACTGGGCCTGCAGGTCTGGAGTATTCACCCCTCATTTCTTTTACTTATGAGTGAAGCAGGTCCGGCCCTGTGAGGTCAACACACACTAGAGGCATGTGATGAGCCAAAACACCCAGCACCACTGTTTTCTAAACTTGCATATCAGCAGCATCTTGACATTCAACACTGCAGATTTACCAGCCTCAGTATTGTGAAAAAGATAAGCAGCTGTACACTGACGACTATATCTGTCACGACCTCAGACGCCACAGGTTTCAACTGAAACGCTCCGGTCATGTAACATTATGTGACGTCAAATAGTGCAAAAAAAAAAAAAAAGTGCAGACTTTCTTGTTGTAACGTTAACGTGGTTTATGGCAGAGATGTTGAGCGTGTTCCTTCTGTCACTAATCACCTTTATTATCAACCTTGTGAACTCGGCAGTTAAACCTCAGAGTTCAGAGCAGCGCTGTGCTTCCTGATTGAACTGTAGCAGCACGGAAACTAAATGTCAAACACCTCAAAATATCAAGTGTTACAATGCAGTTTAAACTGGGCCTGGGTTTATTGTATATTTATATCATTTGTAGTAGTTACAATAATAATGTAGCAGCTCATGAAGTAAAACGACTGTACCTGAGAAGAGGTCTGCCAACGCCAGGTTACCCAACAGGTAGTAGATAGGAAAGTGAAAGCGTCGGTTTTTTAAAATGGCCCCTATGACCAAAAGGTTGGAAAAGATGACAATGAAGCAGACCGTCATGCCCAGCGTGACGATCACATAGTCACGTTTGCGCCAGTGGTCGCTGATGTTCTTGCCACTCTCCTCATAGAAGAATTTGACAGAACGGTTGAAGTAGCATCCCTCTTTGTCCTCGGTCACCGTATCCATGTTGAGATATGTGGCGGATGTGCGATCAGAGAAGAGTTGAGGAGGAGGAGGAGGAGGAGGAGGAAGACGAGAGCCGAGGTGCAGACAGGAAGCAGAGGGGGAGGACTAGGGCGCCATTCAGACTCGCCCTGTCTGGTGGGCTGGAGATCGGCATGCCATCAGCTGGACAGGTGAGGAGGGGAGGGATCCAGGTTGAAGTCTGAGGCCTTTACCGCAGAGCTGACTGGGACACCGGGGTCACGTCTCCAATCTGTGGAAGAACGAGTTATTAGTTTAAGGACACAAACACAACCATTAATGCACGACTTCAATCCAAAATTAGTAATGAACCAAACGTATTAAATCACAGTCATGACAAAGCTCTTACAGAACTACACGTATGCAGATTGTAATTTTGAATTAATAAATTGCATGAACTCCATATGTTTCAACTGACAACAGCTCCAACAACCAATGATATTTAACCATCTGGACATTTAACCGGCCAATTAGCATACAGTCCAGTTCAGAGACTAATAATAATAATAATAATAATACATTTTATTTATAAGTGCCTTTCAGGACACCCAAGGATACTTTACACAGCTAATAAAAACACAATATATAACCTACCACTGGAACAGGTAAGTATTTGATCTGTAGGTGCCTGTAACTACAAGGGAGTTTTCCTTTGTTCTGTCTGTCGTAACTCTCAGAATTAGTGTCAGAAAAAGTCTTGACTAAAAACCCTCGCTCCTCGTTCACACACACACTAATTTGGATGTGAGACAAAACGCAGCACTACAGATTTTGATTTGCTTTATTCCATTAAAAAAAAAGAAAACAAAAAAACAAGGATCGGCGCCAACAGTGATTCTTCAGATCGGCTCGGGACATCTGGGGTTTAAGAAATGACACAATTACTGACATCATCTTGGGCGCCAGGACATTGTGATGAGAATTTTCCACTGTTTTCTAATGTGTTAGAGATCAAACAATTAATAAAGAACATAACTGATACAAATTATTATTATTATTATTTAACAATAAAACTTACTAAGAAAGGAAATATCAAAGTAGTAAAATATAAAAAGGACATTTCATGCACTGATGCTTTTTTAAATAATTATTTTACAGTCAATAAAATAATCTGGTAAATCAGTAAGATCAAGCAGTTCAGACCATTACTGTATACTGTGAGCCCCAGTGGCCTGAATACACACAACCAACTAGGTTTACATAAGCACATGCCGCCTTCCACAAATGTATTTTACTGTTTTAGTTGTTTTTCCTCGAATGAAAAAATACACTTTATATGAGGGAAATATAACACAAAGCTGACGTGTTCACAGAACCTTGATCCACATAAACCTGAAAATCTTGATTAGCAGCCATTTCCGCGATCATGTTACTACGGAGCTTAACAACAAACATCGACAGAGCCCGACAAGTCACAACAGGGACTTGCGAGTCTTTATGACGCTGTAATTAAAACCAACCACAGCTCAGACCAGAGCTCAGCACTTCGCTTCAAGACACGCATGCAAAATGTGGCCAACAACAACGGGCTTCAATCCTCTGTTTACGGTAAACTTGTACGGGCTGCTTGTTGCGAGTGTTGAGTCAACAACACTCCCTCACACATTCTCCATTTCCCTGCGACAGCCAGCGCGGCGACACGCACGCTACCATCCGCTCTCAGCTCAACTCTCTCAACAATGGAAAGAGCGGAGCAGCTCCCTGCAGCAGAGACACACCTCACAATTACACAATCCAGCTATGTAACTCAATCTCAATCCAAACATGCCCAACACACACACACACACACACACACACACACACACACACACACTTACACACACAGGGAGGGAACCTCAGTGACCCACTCTCTTACTAAGGGTGTGTGAAGAGAAATGCCAAATCAAAAACAGAAAAAGTTGGAGAGGAGGAACTTTAGAGGCTCGGGAACGAAATGATGGATGAGAAACATTTGCTAGAAAAGGCTTTGATTAAAGCAGCGATGTTGAACAGTTGAGGAAAGTTGAAAACAACTAATATAACTATGCTGCATCTTAAACTGGTGACATATTGATCTTGTAAGCAACATCCCAGAACACCCACACAACAATCGAGCACTTTATTCAAAATTAGTTTGTACTTTGTTTTTCTAAGTTGGTCATTTATTGTCTTGTCTCTGTATTTTAAACAGTTTTGTGTTTACGTCCAACTGAAATGGAAAAGTGTAACGAGAGAATGTGAAAGGACAGAAAAGTCAAAACGAGAGTAAGTCTTGGGTGAATAGAAATATGATAATGAATTAAGTGTTTTTGAAGTCACCCGCCTGACAGGTTCTGAAACGTATTGTGAGCAGAAGAGTGAGAGTGTCTGCACCAAAAGGTTTTCTTCCTTTTCTCTTCAACACCTCCGTCCCCAACAGACATGAGCTGTGAGCCAACCATTAAAACCAGGGTTAACACCGAAAACCGCACAGATGAGTCGTCTTCACGCCATCGCTCTGTTTCATGACCTAACTGTGACATTCTCTCGCAGCTTTAAAATTAGTTTCCCTGACTATCCCTGTGTACACTATCACTATCACCATCTTGTGTTTAGAGATAACGACTCAGTAAAATTGTGCCTCAGCTTTAGACCGTTAATGCTGTACTTGTTAAAAACGCAAAAAAATGAACTCACACTGAAAGTGTGTGACGCACATCCTAACATCTGCACCAACAGTCACACCAGCGGACCAGGTGCACCAGGAAGGCAACAGTCCTTTGCAACCCTTTTCTGTTCTGATACTGATTCCAATACCTCAACTCAGGACCAGGGTTTGGCGATACGTGCTGAAACGCTTAATTTTCCTCATCTGGCCAAAACCTGATTCCCTGATTCGGATCGCTACCTGCATCGATACTAATCCAACGGATCTGACCAGTGAATTCTTAATCTTGATGTACAGTGCCACATGATGACACGTCAATTTGCCAACGTTTGAAACAGCTACTGTACCATGACAACTTATTTTGTCTGCATGAGGCTTGTGGTCTGTGCTTTGGCAGGTGCAGATAACGTACAATATATTAAGAGCCAAAGATTTAACAAACCTCTTCACAGGAAGAGGTTTGTTAGATCTTTGATAATTGAAAAACCCACACATTCATCATAAGAGGGTGCTCGGCCTCAGTTGTTGACTGTACAATAGTTGCATTTCAGTGTGCACCTGGAGGCTAAAACACACCTTCATCAACTGTTGCAGTCAAGTTTGCGAACAGGGAGCCTGCGAAGCCATCGAGTGAATCTGAATCTGAGTAATCTCTGTGCCAAAGGTCACAATTGACAAAGGCTACAGCTCACAGGTAAAAAAAACAACAACAAACTTCCAACTGCCCGAGTCTAAAGATCAAGACTGAAGCTATTTTCATTGAGTCTGACGCTGCTCAAAAGATTGTCAAATCCAATTGAGACACACAGACCTCATGTCAATCACTTTCTAAACACTAAATATCATGTTTGTAACCTATTTTCTATGATTTGTCTTGATGCTAAGCTAAGCTAGCCTGCCTCTGCCCAAACAAAATCAGCTGACCAACATCTCTGACACTCACCAATTAACATGTCAGAGCTCATTTAACCCTGAGAAAAGTGGCTTCCTGCATAGTGCATTTTGCAAAATGTCAAACTACTGCTAATTAACGTCTGTTGGATATGTAGATAAGTGAAAGCTTGTTAACATGCTGACCACAACTGAAGGTGATAATATGTCAAAGTTTATAGCTTGTAATGCAGGTTCAAGCTCTGATCCTAAAGTATTTTATTATTACTTTAGTACTTTATTTATTAAAGTATTTTTAAATTAGAGAGGATCAATGAACAGAACATTCAGGTAGTCATTTTGCTAAATATCAAAAATCGAAAACTAAAAATCCAGCCAGTAGCCAGTTAGCCTAGCTTAGCATAAAAACTGGAAACAATGGGAAACAGCTCATCTGCACAAAAACATATGTAACCAGGATTTAAGCTTTGTTAGTTTCCACTTTTAGTGCTCAGCGATCTGTCAACGTTAGAGCAAACTAATGTGTAATTGTTATACGTGCATCAAGGTTGTCACTTTTCATATTACGTTTGAACATGTGGAAAAAAAAAATCAACTGAAATTCAGGATTTACAGTGTGTAAGTGCATCAGAGCGTTGGGAGTAGCCTGCTTTGTGGTCCAGTAGAGGGCGCTCCTAAAATTCACTATCAGCCTGACCTACTGCACGTGCTGCCGACTCATCAGTTAATTATACATAAAAATGGAGGAGGACACTCGTGAGCAAGACCACGCTAATCAGATAATCGCGACACAGGAGCATCAGGAAGATAGTGTGCGGAAATATTCTTAGTTCCTCATCATGGATGCTCAAATTTCCAACAAAGGCACGGCTATTTGGCAACTTTGTCAAAAGCACCGCCTTAACTCTACAATGACAATAAATCTGAGGACTCACCTGCTGGCACGCCACCCAAGCAAGTCTGCAAATGCACCAGAAATATCGCGGAGCAGCGGCAGGTGTATAACCACGACAGACCGCCTACGCTCTTCACCAGACTTAACGTCAGGACTCCCGTCAGAAGCTTGTAAAGAGGCCATCACAGATAAGATAAGAAGCGCCAATTAAATACGAATATATGTGACCCGGTTGTCTGACACCACATGGGCAAATATAGAGTTTATAAAAGGTCCTTCAAAACTTCAAGCACTTTTGCATATCCCTCCACAAGTCCACTGAGGTGCTTCCACTCTGTGTGGCTCTCAGGATCTGAATTTGCATGACTGTGCGTTTTCATGCATCATTTGCCTGTGTTTGTGTGTGAATGGACTGGGCTGAATCAGTAAACACCAGTTTGAATGCAAACTAGTCATTACCAGAGCAGCCACACCCGAGTCTCTTCTCCCCTCCTCCTCCTCCTCCTCCTCCTCCTCCTCCTCCTCCTCCTCTTCTCTCTCCTTCTGAAAGAAGAGCTCCAGCACATCAACTTCAGCTAGCACTTGTTGGAATAGGAAACATTTACACACCACACACACTAAAACCAATACTGCAGCAGAGGTGGTGGAAGTGAGTGAGAAACTATCGATTATGTTTGTGACCTCTAATTCCAGGTAAAAACGGAAATTCTGCTCATCTCGTCGGGAGCCGTCTCTTCGGGTGCATTGGTTTCAATTAATTCTGGACAAGCAACTGGTGGGACTGACTGTGTGTCATCTGCATAATGATTACCTTTGCCGATTTAATCACACAGATGCACGCACAGGCACTTCTCTCTTATTGGATTAGGCAAACTAATGTCTAATCTATCCAATAAATTCTTTTTCTTCTAAAAACAGGAGACCTCATTGCATCGAATGCCACAAAATACACATTTCCTGCAGAGGCTTTTTTTTTTAGGCAGAAAAGATTCTGATGAAAACACAATATGAAGTTTGTTGCTATGCATCAGAAATACTGTAATTAGGGACCATTTAAAATAAATTACCTCATACCAAAGCCTTTGGAGACATTGTCATGGAGGAAAAAAAAGGGCTAAATATAATCTAAAAGAACTAAGAAACTGCTGCCTGTGTTTTAGAGTTGTGTATTTAAATCTAAAGAGTCTCTGAGAATATTTGCCTTGAAGGTTTTGTGTTGGAAGTCAACTTTCTCAGTATGATACATTATCTGTCATTTGCTGCAGATTTACCTAAAGGTTACAAAGAGGTTTCAGTAAGAGATTTACATCAATATTTCCTCCTTACTGATGCACAGGAAAGTCATCTTCGCATCTTTTCTCTGTCTGAAGAAACTACTCATCTGCCCAACTCATGACCTGCGTTCACTCACTTCACAATCAACTGCGGTAAACATGAGACGTGACAGTAACTCAACTTTCCCGGGTAATTCACAAGAATACAGAACAGGAAATGATCTTTGTGAGTAGTCAGTTATCTCGTAAAAATCTCAGTATTCAGTCCCAGCTCCTTCAATGTTTGGATTTACCACTTCACTTCCTTTTATATGACTGTAAAGTGAATCAGGCTCCTGGTTGGACAAAATAAGCATTTCACCTTGGGCTATGGGAACTTGTGAGAGGCATTATGAACCTTAACGTTTGTTGGTTCAATTCAAGCTTTTAAATACAAGTGTCCATAAAATATCAAAACAATGAACACAAGGAATATAAACAAAAACCTTTTCCCATTTAACAGTAGAAGCCAATGATGTCTAAATACAAACAAACCAGAAAAGAATAAGTCAACAAGCCAACAACAGTGAACAGCCATAGTTGTGAAGTGAGGTGTGTGGTAGAACAAAGAGGGAGAAAATGAAACTGCTTACTAATTAATGTAATATGCATAAACATCCCCCACCCCCAAAAATAAAAAAAGCTGGTTTCAGCTTCACAAATATAAGGATTTGCAGCTTTTCTGGATTAAATGACAGTAAATGTAATATTGTGTTTGGAGATCAGTCAGAAAGCAAAGGCAATTTGAAAACATTGATTTGGGATGTAGGAAATGATGATGAGCTGTTGTTCACCATTATCCGATATTTTATAATCTACATGAATTTACATGGAAGGGGGGGGGGGGGTTAAAGACGTTATAATTTACCGCAGTTCAACCCACACTGACACAGAGTTGAGTCAACACTGTGTGACAGTGTCAACAAAGCCTGAACAAACTAACCTTCACGATGACAAGATTTATTACAGGGCTGTGGTGCTGGATTCAAGTTCAGGTAACTAAACTTTTAACAACCTGCACGCTGAACTATAAAAGCTGATTTTTGATATTTTCTGCTCAAAACCAGGACACATGGGTGAAGCACATCTACCCTGTGTGTGCCACCTACTGCAGGATATGTGCTGTGGTTACACCCAGCCAAAAAAACAGGACACAAAAAAATGAACTATTTTATCTCTTGGGAAAGAAAGATAACTGAAGACAGGTTGAACAAAGGTTGCGTGACTAGATGGGATCACTTCTCAGAAGAAAAAAAAAAAAGGGCATGGTCACAGCGGACAGTGCTGAGGATGTTCAGGCTGTAATGAAGTCCAGACTCCCTCCACACCGCTTTGAGACAGTGCAGATGCCTTTGCATGCTGATGGGTGCCCCCGACCTCCCGGCGCAGGAACAATGAGGCGCAGAGAAGGACTACAACTCCGACTTCACACTCACAGCAGAGGCATTTTACACACACGAAGAAAAAAAAAAACAAAGAGAAAGAAAGAAAGAAAAACATGAACTCACCTTTCCCCGTGTGTGTGAACTCGATTATCCAGAATATCAAGCTCGGAGTCCTCGTCGAGTTGAGAAAACAATGTGCTGTCGTACCTGAGGTCACAATCCCGACGCCCTCTGAGCGCAGAGAGGAAATAAAATGCAACAGAAGCAGTAAAAATAAAAAGCCAATGTTGTTGTTTTTTTTTCTGTTTCTATTGAGGATCCACTCCAGCTTTTTTCCTTTTAGTCCCACAAACTCAAACTCGGTGAGCAGTCTCCGTCACCTGTGCGGGGCACTTTCGCCTTGCTTCCGGTAGTTTGAGCGGTTGTTACCTGTGCGCAGTGATCCGCGCTCTGTGAGTCCCAGGAGGTGTAGAAAGGGTGCGGCACAGTGCTCCTCCGCTGCTGCTCTCGCTGCTGCCGCCTCTCTGTTACAAAGGAGCGGGTCGGAGCTCCTCGGTATGCTGCTTCTGCCAACCTGAGCAGCTCCGTATCCGCCCCAGCTGCCCCCCTGTTGGCTGCCGCGGAGGCGGGACGGCCAATGACAGTGGAGCTTAGGAGTGATTGACAGGATGTTATTCCGGCAGGTTTACATGATTTTGATTGTGGTGGGAGATGGATGAATAGGCTAATTGTCACGGTTAGACGGAGGTTATGTCTTACTGTCTATTGTGGTGAGGTCGTGGAGGCGGGTTGTGGCAGGAAATGGACTAACATGACCTTTGATACATTTACATTGAGAATATGGAACATAAAGAATAACTAGAATAACGCTTCATAGTCAGAGACTGAAATGACAAGATAGAAATCCTCTATCAACTAACAAGTTTGTTAGGATGTTCCTGTAACAAACTGCTGCTTTGTAGTTTATGTGTCTATGCACCGAAGAGGGCCCTGGGGCCAGAGCCTGTGTTGTAAGTAACGGTTAACCAGAGAGAGACTCAAAACAACCACAAAGATGCAAAACAATGACAAAGATGAAAAATGACCACAAAGAGACACAAAATAACCACAAGGAAATACAAAACATCCAAGAAGAGACGCAAAATGTCTACAAACATGTCTCTTTGAATCTGTCTCTCTTGCTCTTTCGTAGGAGGGGTGAGGAGACTTTTATGTGTCTGTGCCCAGGGGTCCGTTGTCATAATCAGTCCATGTTTTGACCTGGAAGCTGTTTCCTTGTGATTCCAGAAACTATGTAAATGATGATCACGACTGCCTAACACAGATGTTGTTGCCTTACCTTCTGCAGAAGTACTAATACCTGATTCTGCTGCACAATTTACAACAAGCCATTTAAAAAACCCTTTTCATTCATCAGGTTGACTGACGTTGTCCTCATCCTGATCACAACCAAATCTGCCTCCAGTATAGTACAACAATGACAGTGACAAACAGAAACAACACCGCCAACCTCCAGCAACAATGGGCTGTCACGCTCATCTTTTATTCACAAGCTGAGGGCACAAGGCCCCGCAAGCAGCCTGGTCCACCACCGCGGAGAGAGGGCAGAAGAGAGAGGCTGACAGCTGACAGAAACGAGGACACGTCAGAAACAAAACGAGGGTGGTTGTTTTTGTTTTTTTCTTCCATTGTTTAGGAGTGGACGGCGCGGGGGATGAACCTGTAGTTTGGGATGAGCTGTTTGTACTTGAGAATGCTGCAAAAAGGTTTATGGAACTGTCTCATGAAGAAGAAAAAAAAGAGGAGGGGGGGGGGAGATAAGGAAGGAAATAACAGGAAGATTGCACGGCACACAGAGATGGAGTGAAGGAGTCAGGGTGAGGAAAAAGTGCATACGCTTTCCTGTTTACATGAAGGGGCCGAGTGTGCTGAGGTTAGCGTGTGAGAGACGTGACAGCCATGTTTGTTCAACATGTACAATCTGCTTTCCTTATTAGGTCGGCCGTGTGTCGCAGTGTGTAGCCCCTGTGAGTCTTCCAGCGGTCATAGTTTCCAGTTTGCTGTATCGGCGGCCTCTCTCCATTCTCTTATTTCCTCCCAGCGTCACGGACAGCTGCCCGGAGGCTGCGTGCTGCGTTGCCACGGCGACGGGGATGCTGATTGTCCTCCATGCCTTCCACATCTGTTTGACACTGTACATGACCAAACACATCTCTCACGTCAGGGCGTAATACTGACCAGGCCGGGGTTACCGGCAGGCCAGAGCAGCATAATATTAAATTTAGGGTCTGAAATTTGATATTATTGCACCATGAATTATATCTTATCCAGTTACCTCAGTACGAGTGAACATTAAACTAAGCGTAGGGAGCCGGGTTTGTCTTACACCTTGATCAATAGGGCCAACTCATAGTAGATTAGCAACATATGTGACCATAGCCTTGATGGTTCTCAAGGATCCACGGTTAACTTTAAGCTTTGAACTGGTAATTTTACAGCCCAGTCACACCAGAATTTAAACTGGCAAAACCTTCCTCTAAGATAATTTAATTTCAATGCAATAGACACATTCAGTGGATTTCCTTATTTGCACATGGATGTTCCTGGACAGCTGCGTTACTGTAGCGTCACCTGTTAAACCCAGCTGACTGTGCGAGTGAACACGTCATAAATTAAACAGGTGACTGGTTTTGTCAAAGAGAAAGTAAAACTGCTCAGATACAGTGAGTCAATGACGGGAAATATCAATGTTTGTTCACTTATTGAAACCTGTGGTATGCGTATCCTGAATCCTTCACATCTATTCTTTTTATGTGACCGTTGATATACAAATTCTGGCTGCTGACCAATAGTGAGCCATCTCAACAATGCTGGAAATGGAGGTGTATCTGTGTTTTACCATCCAGTTTAAAGCAGGTTTTAGGTTCTGTATTAATACTGTGAAAGTATCACACTCTCAGTCCACAGAGGAATGCACACAGCCTGTATTCAGAAACTGAGCCTTTAAAACGAGCTGTCAGGACCTGTGTAACTTTGTGATGTCACAGCAGGACAGTCACTGCTCTCCGCCCCAAGCCCCGCCCACCTGGGCCCACCATCCAACCTTGCAGGATTTGGTTTCACTGAGTGTTTTTACCTGAAATCTGCTATATTTTTTATCAGACCACTAAGAAAACAATCAGCCAATCAGAAGAGAGACTCAGAGCCTCCTCTCTTCTGATTGGTTCACAGACCTGGTGTTGCTAGAGCTCCAGAGAGAAGCCTGAGAGAGGAGATGTAAAACTACATTGAGATGGTTTTTGGTTCTTAAAACAACAAATATATCTTCTTTATTGGATCAACACTTCAAAAACACTGGTATACTGTAAAATGATGGTGACAGACTATTTCAAGGCCAAGGAACTGTTCATGGGAGATCTTAATCTATGCAATAATTTCTCTGAAAAAGGAAGTTTCATGCAAATATTCAAGGTCCGCTTCTCTCCCTTCATTCGATGCCTACTTCACATCTCATATTTATCCTTACATCCTCTTTCCGTAGGTTGTAGGTGTGAGCTCGGGTCTGAACTATTTCATATCACCTCTTTTTTGTTTGACGGAAGTTGGGTCCCACCCACAAGTCATGACAATGATGTCTGAACAAAATTCTGAGAAGTTTATGTGAATCAGCTGTTGCAAAGCTTTGGAAAAAAAAAAATGTGCAAGGTGCTTGTAAAATGCAATACAGCTGTTCCTCAGTGTTTTTCAACCTTTATGCGGAGCGGCTGCTAGCTGTAGCTTCAATATCATAAAGACACAGGAGTCTTCTCATCTCTCCGCAAGAAAACTTACAACAAGAGCTAAAAGTGAAATTCCAACTCTATACATCAGTGGCTCCCAGCTGTTTTGACTTGTGTCCCATTAAAGCGAAGCAAAGTCTACTTGCAAACACTCGTCCCGTCATCACAGGTCGGTACGCGAGCACCGCAACCGAGGAGAGTTTTCCCGCTCAGATTGTTTCATGTGAATAACTTTTAAAGGCCTAAAAACATCAAGCTGTTCAAGTCTAAAGACAAAAAAAAAAAAAGAAGAGAGCAGTCACCGTCCTACAAGACTGTGAAAAAGAAGTGGAAGGACCATAGACTTTAATAAGGTCTTTTGTTTTCAATAATCAGCCTGTCTGATCCTGTTTACATTGACTTTATCTTTCTTGGCTTTATGGCCTAGGGAACTAAGCCCCATGTTTATCCATGGTGTCGTGTGTATCTACAGATGTTTGCTTTTGGTTGCTATAATTTGTGGAATTAATCACCATAATGCTTTGTGCAGATGTTTAAGGTCGGTCGATGTTAATGTATCATGTGAGGGGGTGTAATTATCTATGTAGTGTATTTTTGTCATGTTGTATTATGCTGAAAATTAAATATACGTCAAACTGTGATGATGTCTGAAAATTACAGCAACTGCTCTGGAGCTTTTTCAAACTCTGACTGCTGAGGAAGACTGCAGGGTGTAATAGAAAGCTCCAGAACAGCTGCTAAATGGACCTTGAAGTGAGATTGTTTCATCAACTACTGTTTCCATGGTAAATTTAACTTGCCATCCGTTGTGGGAGGTCCTGTGTTGGGAGCAGCTGCTCAATAATGTGCTGGTGCTATTTCTGTATTCAAGGATTCATAAAGCAGCAATAAAATAACAATGGAAGAACAAAGAGGAAAGGTTATCTTGAAAAAGAGGTTCTCTGTTGCTAAAAACGTGAAACCAGACAAAGGGAGTTTTATTTTAGCACAGGAAGTAGAAAAGGAGGGAAAGGAAAAGTTATGTGGATCCCAAGACAACAACGGAGGAAAAGCAGAAGTGCTTCAGAGAGATTTATCACGGAGGGCGTGAACATTTTCGAGCAGTGTGGTGAAACAACAGAGACTAAGGGCCGAGTCAACAGCTGAATGACAGCCAGATCGCTTCCCACCAGGCGACCTTGATGTGCACCATAAAACAGCAGGATCCAGAGCCTGAGAGCGAGTTGTGTATGAGCAGCAGAATGTGTCAGCGAGGGTGTGTTTTTGTCAGAATTACGTGGGGGTCTTGTGCAACGCGTTCAAGTCTGAATTGTGACTGTATGTGTTTGCATGTGCATAAATCACATATGGAGCTGCTTATTGTCATCTGGCATCAATTTCGCGAGGGCCTTGATGTCCCAATGATTGCCATCATCACTGACTTCCACCCCTCACCGCTCTTAATGCCATTAACGGGAAGAATGCAGCGGTTCTTACTCAATCTGAGTCCACAGAGGAAGCCATACATGTGGAGCACAAGCTGCTGGCCTGCGGTACTTCACATTTGTAAATCCCCTGCACCACCCAAAAACAACAGATGCGCACACATTTTTCCTGCTTAAAGGATGAGGAGATGCCGCCCTCGGTGTGGTCATGCCTCAGAACAGAAGAAACAACATGGCTGTTTGGTTTATTTTGCTTTAGCAGAGACAAAATGCCTCGATACAAACATTAATTGGATGAAATTTTAATTTGTTAAGATGAAGACCTACACTACTATACTTAAGCCTGCACGAATCATTAGTTTTAAATTGATAATAGAAAACCCATCCTGCAGTTCCTCTCAGCTCTACGCGGGATGTTTGGGATAGGAGAGAATAAAATGTAGTTCTGCTCCACAAACCTATTTGTCTCTTTTTACTACAAGTTACTCAAATGAAACAATATGAGAACAAACATAATGCAACCTGTGATGCGAGGCTGGAAGCAGCCGCAGCTTCATTTAAAGGGTCCACTAACCTGAAAGGTTGGTACCCACTGATCTGAATGTAATATATATACCATGTTCTGATGCTCTGAGCCCAGACAACTCTTCCTGTTTTAATAAGTAAAGAAAAAATATCACATGAGAAGCAGCGGCCTCAGATTTAGAGAAGTGGGAGTGTGACTCGATTCCTCGACTGGATGAGAAAGTGGAAGAGCAGCAGCCCCTCGTTAACTCCCCCTACTCATTACCGCTGTGGACGTGCCATTGAGCAAGACAGTTAACCACCACCTCCAGTGTTCAACAGATCAGGCTGTGGTTGTACCGGGGAAAGTTCACTGCTGTGTCTTTTTTCTCCTGGAGGAAGACAGCACAGCCTCTCTTCTGTGTGTCTCGCATCGAACATGTCATCCTGTAAAGCGCCCGGGGACAGGACTCCCACAAAGGGTCACAGGATGAGTCTGAATGTTCACAACTTTAACAACAAAACTACAATTTTCCACACAAAATTACTTTTCGCATCCGAGACTTTCCTCACATCTTAGCTTTAGTGGATACTTTTACGTCTTCAGGCCTCTAAAAACATCCAAAATAAACAATACAAAAAAACTGATTGAACTGGTGGACGCATGCAACCAACCAAATGTGGAGAATAGAGTGTTTAGTCAAACAAAGCAGAACTAAAGGAAATGAGATATAAAACTTTTATACAGAAGTGAAGGTACTTATCTGATCCCATCTATAACTGTTGATCTGAACCTGAACCAAAGAGATCAAGACTACAAAGAGCTGCGCTTGTCTGCTTCTACAGGAGGATCACATGACCGCTCCGCTTTACACGGCTTACACCACCGGGCCCGACTCTCTCGCGTCTGTTGCCACATGCAGCAATAACTAATGTTTCCCATTCCTTCTCTGCTATTCATTCGCCTCTCGTCATCCCTCTGCCTGTCATATTCTCTCATTGTCTTGTCACTTATTTCACTTCTTCATTCATTAAACCTCTAATGCCGCCAGTTTCTCTTTTCACTGTTAACATTTCTAAATCTCACTTCCAGGTACAGCTGCCAAGTCTTCACCACAAACCTCCAGTCTTAACTGCAGAGTATTTAGCTATGCTGTCTTCCTTCTCTGTATATTTTAGTCTTTCTTATCTGGATAAGGAAAACTTGAGTGCAGAATATTACCGTCGTCCCTTATCTTTATGTCAGCCCTTTTCTCATCCTCTCACCTGATAAATTCAGGGGCCTGCTTGGCAGTTTTCCTAACATTTAGTTTCGCTGACCTCCCCTCCAAGTGGGGGTTTTTGGAAACACACATTTCAAGTTTCTGTCACGCCCTCGATTTGATTTTAAGTTAAATACTATGCAAAAACCACAAAGGCACTCATTTGAAAGTCAAAGACGACGGACGGGGAAAGCTTCCTGCTCGCTGAGGAGGATAAAGAAATGTTGAACAGAGCAGATCCTCACAGCGGCGGGTTTATCTCTGTACAAAGCACATTATCAGCCTGCTCAAGGCCACAGGAGACGCAGTTTAGGATACAGTGTAAATAACAAGTGTGCAGTATTATTAGAAGTGTGTGTATCAAGGCGTCAGAGGTGTGATACTTGAGGGTCAAGGCTCGTCTTAAAAAACCCAAAGCAGTGATTCAGCAGTGATTTGGATGTGTTCAAATCACACGTAACTGACAGCGTTTGAACCTCTCTGCTGCGTCTTTCCAACCTGCATCTGGTTTGAACTGGTCTCAACCACAACATCCTCTGTTGCTCTGTTGTAAAAGTACATCCTGCACAGTGATCCAGTTACAGAGCAGAGTCCTTTTAACACCTTAAAGTCTCATGAACCCATGTGTCCTCTATTCTTCTCTCTTTCCCCCTCTGTTTGTACATTTCCTCTTGTTACACTGTGAACTATGACTCAGAGGTCAAATACTTCTCTTGTTTACATATGATAATTAATAATTACTAAAAAAAAATAAGGGCATTGCATCTTATGGATGTCAATGTAATGAACCACCGTCTAATAATGTGGCAGCAACTTCAGTGAGCATCATATTCACAGTCACTGTCTCATATTGCAAACATAAAGTGAAGAGCAGTGAACTGAGGCAGTAAATGTTTAATTGGCAGAATATTGTAGGTGTATTGACATTTTAATCCTCTTTCATTCAGAATATTTAACTGTTAAAAAGGGACAAAAAGTTGTTAACCTCAGTTCTAAAATGACTGGAAACACAGAAATGTTTCCCACAGTTTAATATTCAATAAGTCCTTAAAAAAAAAAAGAAGAAAAAGTATAAATGATTATCAAAGACGCGGCACACATCCACTGCTGTAAACCGATGGCACCATGAATACGTCTTAGATTTTCTGAATGTAAAACAAACTGTAGAAAACTCTCATTAGAGATAGCAGCTGCAGCACAACTGTTTTATAATAAACATTTTGTCATAATGTGCCTTCGTCGTGTTGGATATTGTCGGTCAGCTTTGGATTAGCCACTGCCGTTAAAGTATTTTAATTTGAAAAGAATAGTTGACTATAATTTTTCCACACCTCCAAAACCCCTATTGTTTATCAACAATACTCTAATAAACTCATAAAATAGAGCACATCAGATTCTGTCTGGGATAAAAAGAGAAAATCCTGGATTTATTTCCATCCTTGTCGCTGGTGTTTTCACAATTCACCAAACATATACATGTAATATAGTTATATGTGATTTTATTTATAGTTATTTACAGTAATTCAAATTTCAAACACATTTCCTGTTCAGTGTTTTATGTTCTGCCATCTTTGATCATATAGGTTATTATCCAACTGTGACCCATTTTAATATTGTGATGATGATACAATATGTATGAAAAATCTGAAGATACTTGTTCAAGTCTGGCTTTTAATAAAGGTTGTTTTATCTATTTGATCATTTAAATCAAATTTTATTTCTGTATTTATATTTCTCTATTTGTTACCGTCATTATTATTGATATTTTAACTGATTGTTAAGTTTCACAGTGTTTTTACTTTAGTCCTGTAAAGCATTTTGTTAAGTATGTTTCAAAAACTCCTAAACAAATAAAACGTTTATTTTTCATCGTTTTCAGATTTTTATTACTCTCAAATATTTACATCAGTATCAGACTTAAAAATCCAGTATCAGCTGAGCTCTACTCACATCTCCATTTGCAAATCAGTGTTTCAGGGACACCGACTGCAAATATGCTTATCTGGCCAAAAGTATGTGGACAACACAACATCACTTCCTTATGCGGTGGTGGAACATCCCATTCCAAAACCACTGATATTAAGCCGTCTGTCTGTCTCGGGCTGCATTAGTGAGGTTGAGCTCTGATGTGGGGAGGTGAGACCTGGTTCAGTGTTGGGTGGGGTTGGGGTCAGGGCTCTGTGCAGTCAAGTTCTTCCACACTAAGAGTCCAAACTACTAGTAAAACCGTCTAAAAAGATCATTGTATCCTGTAGCTTTAAGATCAGCCCTAATTGGCACTAAGGAGCTTACAGCTAACAGCCAGTCCACATACTTTTGACCATGAAGTTTTTATCAAGTACCTGTGAATGAGAAACCAAACTGTAGCTGACGTTTCTCTCTCTATAGCTCCCCCTCCTGGCTGACACTGGATAGTTAAAGCAGAGTTCACTGTACCACATAAATACAGTGCCATGTGTGAATAACTCTCACAGTGGAGAAGACAAAAAAAAACCTAAGCACCAAAATAAAGTTTTTTTTAAATATTATTTTAATACTTTTCTTAAAAAAAGATGTTGATACTCTGAACAAGATGAATCTATTGACCTCAATGCCTCACTCGCTGACATACCAACAGGTTGTCCTGGGTAAAATAAATCATAGGAAGATAGCAAAAGGAAAAAACAAAACAAAATAAACTCAAAACAATCAAATATGAAATGGGAAAAGAAATGAATGAAACATTTAAAAAAAAAAGAAAAAGAAAAAAAAGAAAGAAAAAAAAAAGTGATTATAGAGTTGAAAACACTCACAGATCTCTGGGCCAACCTACAGGAGCCGGGAAAAGCTCCCGCCTCCAGAAAAACACGATGGCACACGACATCCCAAAACTGTTACCATGGACGATAAAAACATATCAAAAGTAAAAACTAAAAGACAGAATGACAATTAACAAAGAATCTATTATACAGACTGCAGGAGCTGTGAAGGAGATAGTGGTGGACGAGACGGCTAAGAAAAGACAAAAAACACGTACATGATGAGAAGAAATAATGAAAAAAAATAAAATAAAATAAAGATGTTAAGTAATGAAACATTTAAGTGCAGATTTATCGGACAACTACAGAATGATGGGGCATAATCAATGATTTTGGAACCGCTTCCTCAAACTATTACAGAGCAAACTGCTGCATAACTTTACGGATTTAAAAGGGGGATAAAGGAAAATTAAATAGCAATAAAAATGTAGCCTTTAATATAAAGTGAAAAGAAAATGCATTTTACATGTAAAAAATGTGAATGAACTTTCAGCACTCAATAGATTGGTTTTGGCATAGAGTCGAGAAAAAACAGAAACATTAAAGGAAGGAGAGAGAAAAAGACAGACGAAACAATCCTCTCAATAGAATCATAAAAAAGTTTTTTCTTCTTCTTTACAGTAAATTCTACAAAATCAAAACCAGAGCTTAGAGATGAACACCGAGACGAGCTTTGCTCCCCGCAAACCAAATCCCTCTCATGTTCTTTTTCCTTGACTTTTCCTTGTATATAATATATATTCATGTATCTATTTATATATAATATGTATAATTTGTCGGGTGTGATCGGTAGTTTACAGGCCAGAGCGCTAAGGCAAAGGACACACTCTGAAACTTTTATAACGCCATCGCTCCTTCCTCATCACCCTCTCTCGTCTGAATTTGTACACGCGACCCGAGCGTCGCCGAAAAACCTCCTCCTCCTCCGCCGCTTCGGTTCATGACTGAGGAGGGAGCAGTAGCAGGAAGTGAAGGGAGGAAGGATGTTTTAGAAAAGTGTGTGACTGTGGCCGCTGTGTTTCGTTTTCCACCGTGTCCTGAGATAACAACCGACTCTCAGATGACCGCTGAGCCTGACAAACTCGACCACACCAGCCCCCAACCCTCCCAGTTAAAATTCAAACTTAAAATAAAAATTATAGAGACAAGATTAGGAGAGAAGAAAAAAAACCAGAGCAAAGTGATCTGTCCGTTTGTAATTTGTTCACCCGTTCCTTTTAAACCCCTTTCTCTCTTCTCAGACAGAGAATGAGGTTTCCGTAATTCTCACTTAAATTAAAATCCTACTCATCATCACCATCATCATCGCCATAATTTTTTTTAAATGTAAAAGTCCCCTCCTTTTCTGTCATTCTTATTTTCCACGAGGGAGCTGACTGTCTGTCTGATTTTTTTCAGTGTCTGTTTTCCATCTGTCGTAATTGAAGACACAGAACCAACAACCGTAAACACCAAGCCAGACACCAAAACGTATCTGAGGTTGGAGGAAAAGAGGGTTGCTTCTTTCACTTTCACTTCCCCCCTCCTCTCGTTCACATGACACAAGCCAGCTGCTACTGAGAGAAAGGGACAGTTACTATTAAGTGGGTGGGTGAGTGTGTGTGTGTGTGTGTGTGTGTGTGTGTGTGTGTGTGTTTGCATTTGTATGAGCAGCGACCATGTGTATCAGAGCATTGTGGTCTATATGCATTTTATAAATTTTCTTATGTGTGTCTATAGGTCCGTTCTCTCACTCCCATCACCCTCTTTTTTCCCCCTCAGAACAGGTTCTCTTCAAAAATGGCCATCAGGTCGCTCTGGAAGTTTATATCAATGGTGTCGGCCATCTGCGGAGGAGACCAGACAACAACATAAAGCATTAAGGGCTGCTTTTTCAAAATCAAAAATCAGCGTTTTATTTGATTTTTCACAGTTTTGTTCATACCGCCTCTCTCCTGCGCCTCTCTTGCTCGCGGCGGCGCGCCATCTCCCTCTGCTGGTCGAGAGCGTTCTGTGCAGCTGAGGACGATGGGGGCGGGGCTTGAGGCTGTGTTGGTGGAGCCTGCGGAGAGTGAGTAGGTGGGGTTGAAGCTGGAGGTGTGGGAGCAAGTGGTGATTGTTGCTCCTGGCGACGGCGGGCATCTTCCTGAGCTCGACGAGCTTGCTCCATTGTGTCCTCGTCGTCACGGCTACAGCATAAAAAAAGACGATGACAATGAAGCTTAATTAGAACCCAATCAATACGGGGGTTTTCAGACTGATACTGATATTTGAGAATAAATTCTGAAAATAATACATTCACATTCATATATTCTTCTTACACGAACCAGGCCGCTACTGTAATCTGATTACTTTTGTTACCAACAAGTAATGTAAGGGATTACAATTTAAAACTCAGTAATTACATCGCAGTTCCTAATCCCACTAATGCTCCATTACTTTGGCCTCCGGCTGTCTAAACAGAAGTTAGACGGAGAGTTGCCTCTCTACTTTCAGTAGGAAAATGGGTCCAGGACTTACTAAGACATGCTAACTTGGTAGAGGCAGTTAGCCTCTACCAAGGAGAAACGCGAGTCCCCAAGTTTTCGTATTTACATGCTGTGTGTTCTTGCTAACATTCGCTACACGCACGCCTACATCACTGAGTTTTGTTTAGGGTTGGAGGGTGAGTTGAGGACTTGTGTGAGAGATGTGTGCAGTCACCGAGGCTAAAGTAGCTGCTGGATTGGACAGATAATCCCTCCACATTGTAGAGCTGTGCGCTTGTTAAACCACAATGTGTTGCTTTCAATTTCTAAATGAATTAAATAAAAACCGTGTTAAGAGAGTTATAGTTCTTTTCCACTCTGTAAGCAGTTCTTCATTCATTTGACTACAGCATTAAAATCCACCTGAAACTCTGGGACAGGATGTGAAAGTTGCAGATGAAAAGTGTCAAGAGTCGACTCAATCTCCCACATTTGAAAAACAACAGAACTCATGAGCCTCCGGTTGAAAAATCAAACAACCAACCGGCACAAACAATAACAAGACGGACATTATGGAAAGGATTATACTGTATGAATTTGACAGGATTCAGTTGTCAGAGTGATGTGTCAGCATATTCAATTAACCTGCAATAAGACTTCAGTGAAAGGTGGATAAGATGTTGAGTCTCCAGGTGGATTGTATTGTATATACTCTTTGGAAAAAATAAAAGAGGGGCTAAAACATGAACAACACCGGTATTATTTCTTAATCTCGGATCATTTCTCATCAAGTCGTTCTATGTCTCCCTCTAAGACAGAAACTAATGCGGTGGTCTCATCTTTCCCTGTCAGACACCTCTCCATCGTCCTCCCACCTACCGTAGCTTTTCTTGCTCTCTCCTGGCCTGTTCAGCCTGTGCTTTCAGCTGTCTCTCTCTCTCCTCCTTCTCCCTGGCGGCCCGTCTGAACTGTTCGAAGCTGTCGCTGGAGGAGCGAACAGAGGAGGCCGGCGTGGACTGGGACCTCTGAGCCAGGCTCGCCCAAGAACCCATGTTCTTTATCTTCACGTCCTGGGAGAAGAGGAGAATAAGACGTGGAGGACGGTAGGGGTCAGAAAATGTGAGGTTAAATGAAAGAGAGAAAACAGACAAACCAGATGAGCCCGCTACTTTAATGGGGCTTATGACATTATTTTCTCATCTCTCACACTCATACACACCTGTGTCTTCTTAGGAGCGATGGGAGTTTTGGGTTCTTGCTTGATTTTGTTGTCTTGCTGGGAGCAGGGCGGTGCTGGGGAGTCCAGGAGGCGAGAACCAGGGCGAGAACCATCCAATGGCTTCAGATCTAATCCTGAGGGAGACATGGGGATTAGCTATACATACGCACCAGGGGCTCATAAGCAATAATGTTTCTGGAAAGTGGCAGTAGATAAGTTTTGGGGAAAACAAGAAAATCTTTCTGCAATCAAAGTAATAGAAGGAAATAGTTACTTTACTTTTTCAGTTTTGGCCTCAAATTTATTCCTACTGCTTCTAAGTAAATGTTACCTTCTTTAGTTTTAGATGTGATGGACTGTGAAGTCTCTTGTACTCACTGTGTTTGTTGTCGGGTTTGTGTGTGTCCTGACGCATGGCAGGGCTGAAGGGTGAGGGGGGAAGGACTGGCGACTGGGAAGGCTTCTCTTCTTTGACCCCCACCAGGTTGGACCTCTGCTCCTATGCAAAGACAAACGTTGTCACACACAGCTCCGTTACCAAGAATCAAAGACGAAAAAACAAACAAACAAAAAACATTTTTAGCATTAAAAATTGATCTTTTTTTTTTTCCTTTTAACATTTCACTCACATGTTTCTTGGTCTGTGGGGGTGACTGCTGTCCCATTGTATGGAACTGAGGCATCTGAGGAGAATGCATCATCAGGGGAGAGGGGCTCTCACGCAGGCAACCTAGAAAAACATGCAACACTTAATTCAAAACACTATTTAGTTAAGTGCTAAATTTAACTAACTCTGACTAACTAAACAGACTCTTCAGCTGCTGGTAACAAGACCCTTGTCCTGCAGGTCATAGTGATCCTTTGGAAGCTAACTAGCACCACAACATGATCAAATGCAGGGATGAAAGATTAAATCTAGTTTTTTACGTAAACTGACGACAAACAAGGACAAAAACATCAACCACTGGCCTTGGTGCATAATCATTCTTTTCTGTTTACTCTTCTTTATTGTTCTGTTCCTGTGGTTATTGGGGTTAGCAACATGCTATGGTGTTTAAAAAGAAAACAAAAACACAGCATAAGCCTGATTAAGTCCTACTTGCTGTTGAAAATTTTTTTCTTGTTTGATTTTGGATGGTTGGTTTTTACACTTTCACTGTAATTGTTAATTTCTGTTTTTATCCTGAATAAAATGAAATAGATCTTACGTTTGACTTGAACAGATGCATCTAGCTCACGTCTTAAGCCAGTGGTTCTCACCTTCTTTTTGCCTTCTCACCATTAAAATTTAGCACCATCTACTTGTGAGCCCTTGTGACATGCTACAGCCTTAGTGGGGACATGAACTGTGAGCAGTGAGGCAAAGATTGTTTCATTTGAAGGATTTTTAAACCCCTAAAAGAGAAAGTATTCAGCATTTCACATGAACAAAAAGTCAGGAAATACATTTACATAACAGAACTATGTTTATCTTTTTTAACCCTTTGATGATCTTTATTTTACGACCTCATTGAGGGGTCGAGAAGCCTCAATTTGGGCACCATTGTCTTGAGTATAAATACGTGTCTCACCTGTTGAGAAAAGCTCAGCTTTACTGCGTGGTGATGGCTGTTGCTGATGTTGCTGCATCTGTTGTACCTTCTGCTGCAGGGCCACCCCCTTCTGCTGCTGTGATGTTGACGTGTGCGTGTGCGGGAACGGCTGCTGCATGTGCGCGTGGCCTGAGCTGTGTCTCTGCGTCAGCGCGGGGGTGGGTGTCGTCATAGCCTGCGTGTGCAATGACGGCACCAGCTGAGAAGCGGCCTGCACTGGCGAATGCGTGTGGGCGTGCAGTGGCTGGGTCTGCGTGGCGGGCCGAGCCTGGAGAGACTGCAGGAAGGTGTGCACCTGGCTGAGGGGCGGGGTTTCAGAACTGGTGGGCGTCGGCTCTTCGTCGTCCTCCAGCAGGGCCTGAGGAGGTTGTGCCGAGAGGGTGCCCAAGATGCCGTGTGATGTGGGTGAGGGGACGCGAGGGCGAGGCACCGGCTGGGGAAGGGTGAGGGGAAGCGAGGGCTGAAGCTGGGGTGAGGGGGATGGAGGCAGGGAGGGGAGCGAGGACGGGGGAGGCTGTGGGGGTTTGGGAGGAAGTGGTGCTGCGCGGTTGCTAGGTCTTGACGGTTGCTGGGGAAGAGCACTGTGGATCGCTGTAAAGCGGGAAGAGAAGAGAATGATGGGAAAAGAACAGAAAACAACAACTTAGGGAAAAACTTCACAGAGACAAAGTCAACAGCAGAGTTACAGACCCCGAGAGACAAGCGTCTTTGTACTGACAAAATATTGATACAAACAATTAGTCACTTTACTTGTTAGTCTGATAAGGAAAAAGCATTCATGTTGATATAAATTATTCCTTCAAAGAAACATCTTCATAATCCGAGTCAGTTCTGTTCTAAATGACCCGTTCAATGAAAACTGGGGGCAGAAAACACACTTTGAAAAGCTGCTCCGTCCCCCTGCTGTTCTGCTCCTGGATTATCTAATTATATGACATACACACAAGTGTCATGTTGTATGCAAACTAGCTCGTCTTCTGAATTTTGTCCAGCATGTGCATGCATCCTTTCCTGTGAATCCCCTGCGCACGTGTACGCCATGAATCCACTGTGAGAACGTTGGACTCCGCCATGGATCATGCAAACTACTCTATAGAGAGGCAACTACTGACCCAGCCTCTTTATTTTTTGACCTCTTGTGGGGGTTTGGGAACCATTGTCTTGAGTACTTGATTACTACTACAGTCATTGGCTATAGCAGAATAGATGTCAGCCATAATGTATCAGGTTTGGGTTTAATATGATGAATATTTGCTGGTTCCAGCTTCTATATTGTGAGGATTAGCTGCTTGTGTGTCAATATAAGACAAAAGATTATTTGTTAGAATGAATTGTTAATTGTTAAAGCATCAGTGTCACTGAAGTGTACATACCCGGTGACGGTATGATGGGATGTTGGTTAAGGAAGGGGTGCGTCTCAGTGGGCGTCTGGCTGCTGGGTGTGTTTGTGTTGAGGAGGCCAGACGTGACGGGGGGGCCGGCAGTAGTAATGGTTGGATTGGGCTCCGTGTTTGACTGCGTCAGGTGTGGGTTCATGAAGTGAGCCAGAGGATCAAATCCTGTGGTCAACAGCTGTGTGTCCAGAGATGGGACAGAGACAGGGACAGGGACAGAGGGAGGAGGGACAAATGGTGGTTTGGAGGTGACTTGAGGCTGAGTCTGAGGCTGAGGAGGGACTGGGCCAACTCCACTACTGAGGGACTGGTGGTGTGGTCTCTTGGTGTCTTTGTTAGTTGAGGTCTTCTTCTGCTGTTTGGGAACCAGCCCTGGTGAACAAAGGTATGTGAAATAAGTTGAGAGCTGATAACGGAAGAATCACAGCTACTGTTTCTCGCAATAAAACATGCTGACAGATGTTTAATATTGTGTGTGTACCATTACCATTCTCAGAGTCTTCACTATCAGAGGAGTCGCTGCTGCCTGAAGATGAGGATCCCGTCTTCATCTTTGTCACATTTGTCATTTCCAGAGGCTTCTCTACTGCAACAAAACACACACACACGAGATTCAGAAACCGACGGACTGACAGTTTCTATCTCACTTGTGTAAACACAAGACATTCAGCTGGGGTGAAGACAAAAAAAAAACACAACACTGAAAAAAAAGTCTTGTCTGGGATGCTTATACAAACATGCAGTGAGCTACACTCCTTTACAATGCACCTGATGGCTTGTAAACAGGGCTGGGATACATGGCTGAAAACACAGAGTTCGATGAGGAGATTAACACTCTCAATAAACTCTAATAAACATAAGGCTCAGTTAACTGGCTGCTGGCTTTAGCCTTATATTCAACAGTAATATCAGAGTTTATATCAATGTTTTTCATGTCTGTTTGCTTTTCAAACAAATGTATTTCCCTTTGGTCTTTTTCACTTACAGTCTATCAGAATATGGTAAATATATGCTAAATTACATGCAGTGTTATCACACTCATACTCAACTAAATCAACAGTGCTCCACTGTTATTCATGAGATGACCGCACATGTGTAAAACAACGGATTGTGTTAGTTTTAAAATTTGAACTTATTTGAGCAGAAAAAGTCACAAAATTATATAAATTAATAATATTGAATATAACCTATCCTATCCGCTTAACAATACTTGCCACATTCACCCAGTCACTCACACATTCATACATCACAGTCACACACTGTCACACACTTCGACACACAGACTGGAGGAGCCGGGGATTGAACCACCGACCGTCTAATTAGTGGAGGACCCGCTCTACTTCCTGAGCCACAGCCTCTATTCATCAATCAACAAGCTGTTTGATCAGGTTTATTTTTTTAACTGACAGTCTTTCCTGTGTTGCCTAGAAGCTGCAAGACAGGACTAACTAGACTTTATACAGTGTGTAGTTTGACAATTACAATGGTTAAGCAGCATTTAATTATGAGCTGCAGAACAAGCTCTTCATGTGAAACTGCTACGACGCAGTTGAGAAGAACTGGAATCACTGCAGTCAGGTGTCAACCCTTTAAAACAAGCGCTGAGCTCAAACACAAACAACCCACCTGATGGTTTTTTCTTCTTCCTGAGGCAGCTGGAGACGTATTTCTCCAGCTCTCTCAACGTGGAAGGCTTCAGCGTCTCGAAGTCGATCTCAATCTCGTCCGGGTTTGAGTTCTTAAGCGAAGGCTCGCGCGTTTGGATTATGTGCACGACGCGGCCCAGTTTGTCGCCGGGTAACTTGTTGATGTCCAGGCTCAGCTGGCGCTTCTCCTCGTACGACATCGGCTTGCATCTCTCGGAGGACACACCCCCAAATACATCTGGAGAGGAAAGCATAGCGGCAGGTTGACAGTGGGCCGTTGTTAAAGACACAAGCACAAAATCAAAATGCTCAACATACAGATGTCTCATCTACATACCTATGTCATCCTCTGCTTCAAGAGAGGCTGAGGGGACGAGAGGGGTTGGCCCAGGCGGAGGGGGCACAGCTGGGCGGCTGTTTTTAACTCCTTCTTTCTTACTGTGATTAACGAATGACGTGATTAGCTCCAGTTAACTCAACTACAATAACATCACTTATCTTGATACCTCTGTAAAACCTACCCGGGCTTTTTCCTGTCCTTCTTCACGATGATTGGCTCCTTGCTGCTCTTGCTCTTCTTAGGAGTCTGAAGCATCGCAGGCGGAGGGGCGTCCACAGTTTCCTCTGCTCCCACCTTCTTCTTGTGCTTTTCTTTCTTCTTCTCCTTCTTCTCCCTCTCTTTCTTCTTGGGCTTGCTGGCCTGCGGCTGGGAGAGTGCCGCCAGCTGTTCATGGACAGCTTTAAGCTGGAAGACACAAACACACACAGATGTGGTCTTAAAGAGACAAAAAGACATCAGCCTTTGCATTTGTTTCTCCGTGTTTCAGCAATTACCCACATTCGGTAAAGCTGTTCTGCGTGGCCCACCCACCTGTTGTGTCTCATAAGCCTCCCTCCCCCTTCATTTTCCATCCTCTAACCTGTTCCTGTAACTCAGCCAATCGCTGTTGCCTTTCGTGTTCTGAGTCTCCTCCCGAGGACTCCGATTCGGAGGAACTGGAGCTGTCTTCTTCCGAGACAGCAGAAGGAGGCGGGGCTTGTCGAGTGGAGGGGGCAGGGTGGAGGGCCGATGACGGGGTGGGAACAGGGGTGGGCTCCTCTGGCTCATCAGGCATTTTGGCAAAACGCATCTCAAACACGTCCTATTTGGAGGGACACGGACAGGAGAAAGCATGAACTTCAAAATATACCTTCTGAAAACTTTTTAGGTAAAAAATAAAAATATTGCGCATCTGGAAATGTAACAACATCAAATCCGCTCATCAAACTTTCAAAAAATTTTATCCTCACAGCTTTTTCATCACGTTGCATTTTAGTGTATTTTTCTTGAAATCGTTGCTTTGATTTCTCGAATAACTGTCCCAACTCACTTCAATGTTTGTGTGACTAGCCGTGTTAACAAACAAACATCGCAAATTAACTTCGCAAAAGATAACAAACCAAGGTATTTTACTAATTTGGAGATGGATCTAGAATGCAACCAGATGAAAGCACACATGACCAAACAAATGTGGACACATAACCAGGACATATATGACTGTTGAACATCGCACTCCAAAACCTTGAGCGTAAACCTGCTACTTCCACTGTTCTGGGAATGATTTCCACAAGATTTTGGAGCCTGGCTGCCATTCACGTTTACACAGGTGTCCACATACTTTTGGTCATGGGGTATAAATATATATATATATAATATTATTATATAATATGCAATATTTATTATGGTTTAATTAAAGGTATACAAGATGTGTTGCTTACCTGTAATTTGCGTGCCATGGCAACCACATCGTGGTCTGGAGGATTGTACTTGTAACAGTTGGAGAACATCAACCTGACATCTGCTGCAAATTCTTGAGCGTCTCTGTACTGTCTGTTGTCCAGCTTTTTCTGAAGGAGACAAAACAAAACATGTGTCGTCAACTCATGTAATTCATTATGAAAATTGTTCTCAGTTTATTTGTGACCAATTGAAAGCTGTTGATTAATGATGAGAGGCTGGACTATCAAACCGAAACCAACTGCAAAACAGGTAAGAAGATTATAGTCTTTACTTATCATTTAATCACATATTACCTGATTTCAATCCTTACTTTGATCATTTTGTACCGTCATTTTGGGCAATGTTTTTAAATTTTATTGATGAAGAAAAACAGTTACATGCATGTAATGTGTTAAAAGAAACGATTTAGACATCTGTATTAAAACCCAGGTATTGTGCTGGAAGCCTCAGTATGAGGACTTCACTATAAAAACAGACGTCATATAGCAGACAAGGAGTTTGTTGCATTCAGGGATAACGATAACGAGCACTGTCGTCTTTGACTCGAGTGAAATACAACCTCAAGTCCGCTGCCGTGTCCACTCTATATATGTATGAGTGGGTGTGGGTGTGTGTGTGTGTGTGTGTGTGTGTGTGTGTGAAGCTCAGCCCTGCCCTCTGATGAACAGTAACCGACGCACACAGCAGGGAGGAACAGATGCCAAAACCACCACTGTGCCTTGTTTGCATCATGCTCCAGATTATCAGACATAATAACCTCTGCCAAGGAGCTTTTGTTTTCAACTGTGTCTGTTTATGTGTCAGCAGGATTACAGAAAAAGTTCTGAACCGATTTGCACCGGAGGGATGAAGTATGAGCCAGGGAAGAACCCATTCAATTTAGGTGCAGATCAGGATCATTTACTAAGGTAACTACTTGAATTTGAATTTTTTACTCTGAAGTTCGGTGTGTGTTGTTTGACACTGGCCTTGGTGGAAGTCTGATCTCTCTGGGTGCCCTTCTTTCGTTATCAGCTAAAATTCCTTTATCAGAACAATAACAATAATATTTAATAATTATAACGGGGGCTCAGGAGGTAGTAAGTAAGTAAGTAAGTAAGTAAAAGGTCGGTGGTTCAATCCCCAGCTTCACCAGTCCATGTGTTGAGGTGTTCTTTGGCATGTGATGTAAAGTGGGGTCTTAAAAAGGTGCAGTCCACTTACCAGTTACCATATTCCTGCTTACCAATGATAGATCAGCCCCCTAATATTAACACATATTAATCACCAATCCTAATAAAATCACCTTGATGGTGCTGAGATCCATGGGGTGCTTGATGATGTCGTGGTAGTCGTGGAGGCCAAGAGCTTTTACGTCAACAGGCTTGTAGAAAGGCCAGGCGTATGACACGTGTTTCTTGGACAGCATCTCTCTGACAAGGCGCGCGCAGGACCGCAACTGATCCTGACGTTTCGGCGTTCCCATCCCTCCCGTCTCCAAACCAGCACCCAGGTGATGTTGAGAGTCCGGCTGTGATGCGTCTCTTTTGGGTTGCTTTGACGGACGAATGCTGTCTCGGCGCGGCCGAGCCTCAGCAGAGACGGGAGATGATTCACTGAGCTGGTCGTTGGCTGTGGGGGTGGTGGTGTCTGCTTTCCTCTTCTGGCTCTTCCTTTGCTGTTGGAGCATCAGAGATCAGGCGTAAGATAATGACTTCAGATCTGATAGTGTTTCATAAGATTAGCAGTTCATTCTCCTCCAATGCCTTACCTTGATGGGGGCGGGGGAGCTCTGCAGCATCGGGGCAGGATGGAGGCCTGGGTGTGTCGGGGGAACCGAGGTCAGACCTTGGGCCAGGACATCTGGAGTTGAGAGGGGGAATGGGGGTCCCAGATGGGCGTGGGAGGTGGGTGTAGGAGGCACGCGTGGGGGAGGCTGAGGCTGGATCAGAGGCTGGACCAGAGGCTGGACCAGTGGCTGGACCAGTGGCTGGACCAGAGGCTGGACCAGAGGCTGGACCAGCGGCTGGACCAGAGGCTGGACCAGAGGCTGAGCGAGGGGCAGAATTGGAGGGCCTTGAGGGGCAGGTGCAGGACGGGGCTGCGGGGTGGTTGACGGGGATGAAAAGCCTCGTGTATGTGGGGTGGTGGAGGGGGACGATGAGTCTTGGCCCGAGTCTGACTTTGAGATCAGACCTGGAGAGAAGATCACAAAAATTAAATCAAGGGTTAAAAACACAGACCTTTCTGGCCCCGGCCTGCTTTCAACCTGTAAAACGGATTATGAAATGTTCAACGATGGTACAGGACGTGCCATTAGTCAATCAGAACTTGATTTAACAGTACAAGTTTAATGCTAGGTGTGGCCGAAAAAGAGGAGGAGCCAGTACAGACATAGTAAATACTGTACACACAAGCTTGGCTGGTTAGGTTAGTTCATGTGGGTTATATCCAGCTAACATCAAAACACACTGCCAGGTAAAAGTCTGGTCACTGCAATTTACTCATGGAGACTCCTCATCAACACAATCACAAACATGTCATTATGACATAACACCATTGCAAAAAAGAAGACCGACATTTTTAAGTCCATGTTACATCCTAAACGCATACCTGGCTCCCGTCTGTTGCCACGCCGTCCCTTGGACACCACAGCAATCTCTGTCTCCTCCTGCGGCATCTCTGCAATCTTTTCTAGGAAGAGCTTTTCCAAGGCCTCTGCCATTAGGACAATATCATCCCCAGGCTAAACAAATAAACAAACAAACACATAAACATGTTTAGAGCTCTTTGTACACAGGTTTTCTCTCTTTATTTGAATGATTAAATGACAGGAGGAGGACAGTGTCTTGATTTCATCAGAAGTACATGCTGCAGGATTCATGTCACATGTGACGGGCACCTCTCCCTCATGTGGCTGACCTTGTTGTAGATGTAGCAGTTTGTGAACATCGTGTTGAAGTCTTGGATGCACTCCTGGGCGTTCCAGTAGTAGTTGTTCTCCAGGCGTTTCTTTATCGTGCCCATGTCCATAGGAGTCTTGATGATCTTGTAGTAGTCCTTGAAGGAGAGCAGGTGGAGAGTATTAAATTAGCATCTTGCCTGGATGAAAGTAAATGAAGATTGTGAGAAAACAAAGAAAAAAATGCACATTTATATATATTTTTGTTCTAAAACGCTCATCCTCTTTCTTTAGTTCAAAACACACTGGCACCTCAGTGCAGGGCCAATTAGTATTGTTCATTTATTTATGTAATAGGGATAGTTCTAATACAAAGCAAGAAACTGATGTGTTGCACAGAGTTTATAGCTAATTTCCAACTCTTATCCCATATGAACCTAGTTATCTGTCACCTGTAGCACACCTTTGAGGTCCTGCTACATTAACAGGATCCCAAAACACAATGTTTAGTCATATAAAGTGGCTCTGAGGTGCTGCTGTGGATTTTCTTTGGACCAAAGTCATTTAATGGGTTAGTCAATGGACAGAAAACTGGAAACTGTTCTAATAATCGAATGATCATTTCAATTATTTTTCTAATAAATATGCTGGTTCAAGCTTCTTAAATTTGATGATGTGCTACTATTCCTTATAATAATATGTTTGTACTACTATGTTTGTATTATTTGTCAGATTTCATGAGATCCATGATGAAAATAAGTTTTAGTTGCAGCAACAACAAACAACTAACAGTTTATTATTTACAGGTACTGCTGCATGTTTCTTCTTGTCGACAGGTAGATGTTGGTGTTCTGGTAACCCAGAGGCAGACAAACAGGGCAGCGGTATATTCTACTGCTGTGTGGCTCGTCCACCTGCGCTACTGTGAGCTGCTTTGCATATAAAATGAATTAGGCGGCTGTTACAATGCTATCTGTGTGCTCTGGACTGTACCACAAGCACGCAAACACACACATAAACACAACTCACAGGCAAATTGAGTTTGATGGCATCTACAGGAGCTTGGAAGGGCCATGCAAAGTGGTGCTTCCATAATGTCTTCAACACCACTTTAAGCAGGTACTGAAAAAGAGCAAAAATCATTGTTAGAAACACAAAAACACACAAAATTTCCATGTTTCAAAAGAAAAACGGAAATCTCTCCACCTGTAGCTGGTTGGTCTGTCGTTTGGGTCTGGAGGAGTTCCATGTTTCAGGTGGTGGAGGGTTGAAGGGGAGAGGTGGTGGGGCAGAGGGAGGGTTCTGGCTGCTGCCTGCCTCCAGTCCGTCTCCCATCGCAGTGGTGGGTTGCAGTGGCTGAGCAGACAGTTTAGGCAGACTGGACCTGGCAGGGGCAGGTGGGACTGGGGGAACCCCCCTCAGGCCATTACACTCCGCACTCGACTCTCTGGAAGGACGAGCAACAAAAGCATCGTCACCACTGCTGCTGCAATTACTACGCTTGTCAGTGAAACCATCTCTGACTCAACTGTCTCAGGATAGAAACCATAGTCACTGACTCAATATCAAGCAGTTTACTTCCCTCTCTTATCTCATTGTCAATCAGCAATGTCTGCATGTTGCTCGAAAACTTCAGCTTCAAAGGCATCGGTGTGAGAGCGACTTGGCAAGATATATTAACCATCTCATCTGTAACTCTGACAGCAATCAGATATCTCATAATGTAGTCAACATCCTCCTCCTCAGTGTAGCTGGTCGACAGGGATCAACAACGTTTCTCTTTAATCCAACAAACCAACTGTTGGATTTCAAACTCTTACAATAAATATTTATTCGTGACTTCACATCAAATAAAACCTGTTCACCTGCAGAACTTCTGGCCCATCAGGTAGAAGTGGAATTGAAAAATGTAAAAACCTCACAGATTTATACACTAGTAGTTGCACTGTCCAGCATTAGGTACAGTGTGAAGCTTTCAAGTCTTTCAGGATTCTGGTTTACAAGAAGTCGTGTTGTGTTGCATTAGTTGACTCAAGTTGCATCATTAGTCTGTAGCAGGGTAATGAAGTAACAGTGCAGGAGATAATTGCATATAAATCTTTCTCACAACTTTAGGATAAAGAAAGAAAAACCCCATGAGCTCTGATTCTTCATGCTTGGTGTTCACTTTGATGTACACCATCTTTGTTATTAATTTGCAATACAAAATAACAATAATATCATTTATAACTCGACTCAACTCAACAATGGAGAAAGATGCTGAAAAATATGAGGTATAACTTCATTTTCATGAAATAACCAACAGTCAGATATTATCATTCCTAATGGCAGATGCGCCAGAGAAACATCTGTCATTAGCTATGAGCTGCTAAAACTTTTACACCTCCTAGAAGGCAGCGCAACATATGCCACTAAAAGAAAGAAGCCTTTTCTTTTTCTTTTTTTTTTTTTACTAGTCAGTACTATGTTAGTAGTATTGGCTTGCTGTCCATCTGGCTTTCACAGTCCATTCCATGTTTGGAATTTCACTGTTTTTGATCAAAAACTGGAACCAGTTTTATATCCTGGACTGGACCGAAGGCAGAACTGGGCTGTAGGTGCCACTGCAGTGAAACTCTGTATGTGTTACCAGTGGCAGTTGGTGATTAGGCTCTTCAATGATGAGGTACACATTAACGTGCAATTACCGTGCTGGATAAAACCTTTGATCTTTATTATAACACAGGTCAGTTATAATCATACAAGCAGCAAGATGAATCTATTAAATTTATCTGATCTGAGTTTTACAATTTATAGTTATTGGTAGGTTTTGTGTCTGTATTAACAGAAAATCTGGGACAATTTTCAATTACAAATCAGATATTGACCATTCAAAACCATGAAAAAAGAAATTTTTTTTTTAGCATGATAATATGAGAAGTGCATCTATGCAGTGTATCAGATATACTGACAAACAGATTTTTTTTCCTCAAAAAAAGACTGGCAGATGCCATTTATTTCGGCCTAATATGGCGTACGAAGATGTGTGATAATACACTTTTTCTACAAATTAATGACAATACTTTACATTGGAACCTGTGATTATTAAGTAGAGACAGGACATAATTTGCCACTGATGAGTTCAACATCAACATCTTTATTCTCAAGGGCTTAAAGTGGGAATGTCAAAGATTTTAATGTAAATAAATGCCTGTTAAGTTATTATCTGTCGCCGAATGAGATGATTGAGCCTATGGCCCACTGATGAAAGTGTTGCAATATTTATATATTAGCAGAATTACTGCGGCGACATTCCCGGCAAAACTGTTTTTTTCCTACGGCTGCAGCTTCACATTAAAAACAATGAATTGGGGAAACACAAGTTGACTTTTATTATGAAGAAGTCACAAGGAATGCAATGTGTTTGTCAGTGAGCTCAGCACTAACTGCTATCGTTCACAAAAAGGCATCTACAAAACAAGACAACGGTCATTTACAGCATTTGATGACAGCGGATCAGTTTGAAATATCGCAGGGAGTAATGGAAGGAGGAGGAGCCGCAGTGAGCTGTTAGATGAAGATCTGCAGGTGACAGGCTACACACCTCCAGCTTCTCAGCCAGGTGAAAAACCCCTTTCACTGTGCCCTGCTTTTCCCAGACTCACCATGTACAGTATAAAATCATTTCACAGTTGCTTACAGAATGGTGGAAAAAGGCCAATTACTGACTGATTTCTTTATTAAAATGACAATAGTTTGGTCCTTGACCTGTTGTATTTAACCACACCAGTAACTACAGGTGCTCAACCAGGACTGAAATCTTCCAGATTGCCACTTTAAATGCATCTGCTAACAGCAATTTTAAGAAGAAGGCCAATTATTTTGTAGGGACTTACATGTTTGTTGCCGTGCAGCTGTGGCCTAATCCAATTGTGTGACCATATCTCAGTTGGTGAGATGGCGATTTCCTGAGCTAACACAGGAGGTTGGTCAGTGGCACGCTGTGGGGGCAAGGAAACAACAACTCACTGAAAGACGGCAGAGTGTCACACCTGTGAGAGAGACAGAGAAATGGTGGGGATGACAGATTAAAACTGAAGTCAACATATCACATGTGGGTTATTTCCAGCTAACATCAAAACACACTGCCAGGTAAAAGTCTGATCGTGTTGTGTCGTGAGCAGCCCTGATCAGAGCCCATAACACAGGCACAGAGAAAGTGGTATTTTGATACAACGGGAATGGCGCAAACAAATATTGGAAATTTGATGGCACTTTGATGCCACCTGCATCTCTTTTTGGTTCATAATATTTAAAACTGATCCACCAACTGAGACTTACACAATTGCACAATACACATAGTATAGGTTCTTAGCCCAAGACGACCTCTTGACCTAACTGATGTCTCAGTAAAGGTTTCTGAGCTGTCATATCCCTTCACCTTACTTCCTGTCTGATGTTTCTACAACCCTTTAGCACTGCTATCCGTCTGCTTCGTAAGCAAGAGACCCTTATGAATGTGTCTTTTGATTCTGCTGCCAACTTATGTCTTGCAGAACCCCTCCAAGTTGAGGATAAAAAGGACCACATGCGCACATTATAAAACCATGTGTCGAAAATCTGTTGGTGTGTTCTCCTCTTTGCTCCCCAGGGAATGATACAGTGCAACGAGCAGTTTGTAAGAAGAACTCAGTCTCAGTATTCTGATGGTTCTTTTATTAATGTGGAAACTTTCATCATGTGCAAGTAAATCACGTGTTGTTATTTTACAGCGTTTTGTGCTTTAAATTATCTTGTGTTACTTTACGTCAAGCAAGATGACAAGAATGCGACAACTCCAATTTCCATTATTTGTTGGGTGAATACACTGAACCCTGACCTTGAACATTGACAGTTTCTAGATGACTTTTAATAGCATCTGTCACAGTGCTCAAAGGTACTTTTCTTTTTTTATTTGTCTGCGAGACAATTTGTCCATGAACAAACAAAGACAGCAGCTTCTCTTTTGTCTGTCCTGAGCTGACGTTTTTATTCCTTGATGACTAGTGAATTTCATCTACCAAATACCTATTTCTAAATATTAAAAGATTTATTGACTTATCCCAGTCATGTCCAATGGGGTCCAAAAGTCTGAGAACACCAAATGGTCTCAGACTTGTGTACCCATAAATAAAATGACTGCAAATGTTGTAAGACAAATACGTGTCCTCTGCTAAAGGCCCATAATTACAAGGTGTTAAAAGACACCAAAAACAAACATTAATACTAGATAACTAACTCATTGTCAATAAATTTCTAGACATTAATCTAAACCAGAAGAATCTAGAACATGTATCTTATGTGGACTGTGCATGCAAACAAATTATTTAAAGCACTATGTCCAATATTGTGATTTATGCCCTTTCAAACTAAAGTACCACACAATCATTAATATATTACAGCATCATTTTAAATAAACTGTGGTTCACGATTGACGATTTAACCATATCCTAAGAATCTACTCAAAAACACAGTCTACTCAGTCGTGTCACTTGTCACTATGTAACGGCATATAATGTACATTAGTGCATATAATGTACATAATGTACTTGTAATGACAAGCAATGTCGAAGCTAATTTGAGTAAAAGACAACACGTCTGGACGGTTAAGTAATTTGACACTTAAATTAATTATTCTACCAAATTTATCAGCCATTTTGCTACTATTTCGTATCACGTATGTTCTCCCGGTAACGTTAACTGAGGAAAGCAAAGGAGCTAACGAAACCGAGAGTCATGAATAACGTTACTTATCACCAACAATTAACACATAGACACGATTTATTCCCGAACAACTTTGTTCTACACCTTTGCCTTGCTAACCTTCCATGTCAGTACATCTCCATGTCCACTCCACCGTGAGCAAGTGACAGCTCCGCACGTAAACGGCCTTTCAGAATACAACTTGGACGGGATTGATATTCTCGAAATGACGTACGTCGCATTTCACATGAGCTTCTGCGCCATCGCGCGTAAACTGCGCTGCCGAAAGGACGTAACTTATGTCACGAATACGGCCTACGGGGCTACAAACAAACAGCCTAGCAGCTAACAGGCTAGCATGAACCCGACCTGCAGCTAACGTGCACACTGACAGCACGGAGTGTCCTACGCCACGAAAACGACCTCAACACAAGCATTGAGAGAAGAAAGATACAACACTGAATATTCACAATAACACCAAATCCGACAAACTTAAAAGACAAAAATCCATCTATCTCGTGTGCCCGAACCGGTGCAAGGCCTGCGAAGACAGCTCATGCTCCGCTTGCCGAAGCACACACTGACAGCGCGCGAAATACGCCACCAATGCCTGTTGTAAACCCTTTACCGCATCCCCGGGGTTGTATGCTTTCGTATGATATACCAATGCCATCTACAGAAAGGCATAAAATGCTATTTTTACCTTCTTCAGTCGGTTGTCAGCGCTCGGAGCCCTTCCTCGCCCCAAATCCAGAACAAACAGTCCCGTTTGACGTCGATGACGTCAGACGCACAGGGGCAGGCTGATCGTTTGTCAGCCGAAATGTCACCTAAGACTCCTCCTTCTATCCACATCTCCCTGGGTAACATCATGCAACACCTTGCAATAATTTCAAATATAAAACAGTCCGGTGTCTGTCAGATTGATTATGTCTTTGATACATTTGTTTAAACGAACATGCCACAAGTAAATTACACCAGTAAACTCCACCCATTACGCATGTTATTATTCCAGTTCACCACAAAATGTGACACAAGCTGGTTCAGTGTCTCTTTAACTCTTTGATAAGAATGGGTGGATGCTTTTTTGTGGTTTTCCGTTTCTTTGCGGTTGTTTTGGTGATTTTACATCGATCTGTAGTCATTTTTTGTCTCTCCACGGTTGTTTTGAATCTCTACATTTCCTGACTCCATGTGGTCTTCTGTCTCAGTCATTTGTGTCTTAGGGTTTGAGTAGTTGCTTGACTGCCCTTCTAAAAAGAAATGCTAACATACAGTCACATAAAACAGGCTCTGGTCCAGCGGCCCCCAGACCTCCTGAGCTCGGCTCAATAGAGAATATAGAAAGAATGTGGAAATAAAACCAGTGCAAAAAAGAAATTATGAATTCGTCATAAAAAATCAAAACAACATAAGATTATTATGTAAATATGTTATAAGCAGAGTCTTATTTTAGTCTTTGCAGCTTTCTTATAATACTGCAAAGTTTAATAGTCTTAAGTTACAAGGTCTACCTAGAGGACAGAAAAAAAAAAAGAGGCTTTTGTTTGTGAATTTACATTTATTTATTTATTTATTAGCCAAGACGCATTTGTACGCAAACGTTTGGGAATCCCTGCCGTAATTGTTGCATGTGCAAAAGTTTTGGGAACCTGATGAACCTTTGTTTTTTGTTGACAATGTGACATTGAATCTACATAGGTGGTCAGTCCTGTCGCCATTTAAAGTTTTCTTCCCATGACGTTAACAGGAAAATGACACATCATTATAATCTTCAATACAAAACAGTGAAACAGTGATTTATTCAACAAGTTTATTTCTTATTCAGAGTGAAACAAAACTGTTGAAGACATGAAAGATATCCATTCAGAATATCCAATACTTACCAATACTTATTCTACAGACAGTCCATGGTCAATTATCTCAGTCACCGCAGCTGTAGAAGAAAAAGCCCACCCTGTTCTAGATTTTACCAAAAGGTTGGGAAAAATCATCCATTCATCATGACTGCTGGCAATAGACAGAATGCTATGAGGTTGTGTCAACTCTGATTAGAAGAAAAAAACAAAAAAAAGAACATAATGTCCCAACTTTACAGTATTCAAACAAACCTAAATTATGAATATTTTTGACAAAAGGCACAAAAAAAAAAAATTCCATTAAGAGAAAAAGTTTGACATTTTTGGAAATACACTTTGGCTTTCTTCACGAGTGTTAAATCAGAAGAAGAAAAATCTGTGTTACATTTGGTGCTAAAGCAGGAAGATGATTAGTGTTGTTAAGACGGTAAACGGGGAAACCAGGAGCACGGCTCTCTAAAGTCCAAAAGTAAGTCTACCAACACCTCTAAAGAAAGCTGGTCGGCAAACATAGGACCCTTAGGTGGTGTAACTAACCTCAACTTCCAACTCTCTGCAAGAAAGTGAATAATAGTATTTCCCAAAATGTGGAACTGTTCCTTTAACAAAATAAAAACTAACATACAAACTCAGAGTCATTAGACAGTGAAGAATGGTGGGAGCAGGTATGCATTTCTTAATATGCCTGGCAATGAAATTGGGTTGAATGGGACAGTGGGGGTCACTGACTGGTCCGGACAGATGTTTAGGTCGAGAGGTCACACCCAGGGTGCAAAAGTCATTCATGAGTCTTGTCTTCCTCCTCAACTTCTGCCTCCACTCCTTCATCCTCTTCTTCTTCCAGGTCACACTGTAATCCTTCTTCACCAATCTCATCATGCACGACGTATCCCTCCTCCTCCTCCTCCTCTTCTCCAACTTCAAAACCTTCCTCCTCGTCCAGGTTCCCCTGCTCCTCCTCTCCGTCCATTCCTAGCTCCTCCTCCATCTTCTCTTCCTCTGCTGCTGCTGCCTCTGCCTCTGCCTCTGCTTCTGCTGCTGCTGCTGCTGCTGTTTCTGCTGTTTCTGCTGCTGCTGCTTCTGTTGCTGCTGCTTCACCCGCGACTGCCTCTTGGCCTGTCTCTCCCTCTGCCACCGGCTCCTCTTTGACCGGTGTCGCCTCTGTCTGACTGTCTGCTGTCTGACCGTCTGCTGTCTCACTGGTTAACTCCATCTCTGACACGTCCATCACCATGGAGTCCTCAGGATCCTGGTCATCCTGGTTACCGGTGAATGGGTTTTCACCCTGTCAACAAAAGAACGTTCTTAAGTATATGTTCTTTGTCTCGGTAAATCTAAACAATATGCTTTGCAGTGTGGTGATCTTCAGATTTAAAGGTGCTGCTCTCTAACAAACAAATGCTAATCCAATAAGTGATAAAACACCTTTGGCTAATACCAGAATATTAGGATCAAACATGAATAGTCTGTATGATTCATATTTTTATCATTTTATTAATCTTATTAAAACATTTTGGGAATATTGTAATTTATATTTAGAATTGAAGCCAATGGGTAAGAGCACCAGTCAAAATATGACTTCATGAAAACGAGTGCTGTATGAGTGAGTATAGGCCTGCAACAAATCTGACTACATCCCTGGCCAGTGTCACTACAATGTTAACTAATTACAAATCATCTCCTTTTAAAACCATTTAGTTTGTTTTCAGCCAAATTAGACTGAAGATCTCTTCATTTGTGAGATTTTGAGGATAACCACTACCTTCTGATTTCGGTAGTTTGGCTCCTCCTATACGTCCTTATCACTGATGCAACTGTGTTTCAGTTTATGTTCAGATTAACCTGCTGATACTCTTTTACCCTCTCCCACCTTTATGAAGTCTTACAGTCTGGTTCCTTACTCACACTGAACGACTTCACAACACAGCGCAAAACTGAGGAATCTGTGGTGATCACAGGTTCTTATGTGCCCTGTTCAAGCAGTTAGTCTTAATTAGAAATCACAGGCATAATTAAATTTACTGCGGTGATCACATGTAATCTTACTTTTGTTGCAGTTTTATTTTCAATGTAGTCTATTTAACCTATACCTCAAAACAAACTCCCTACACTTCAACTTAAAAACAATACAATTATATTAAGATAATATAATTTTGGATCATCTAACATTTTAGTGACGCTGCACAGGTCTGTGCTCAGGTTTGTTGAATATTAAATACTGCTTTCACTTAAAAACATGAAATAACAATATGACCACAAACTCTAGTCCTTATATTCCTATTTTCAAAGCAAATAACACAAAGGGACATAAGTAAATTTAGTGCAAGTATTCATGCAATGCATTTGAATTACCAGCCTTTGCACAGGCACACGACACATTACATACCTTGAGGTAACTCTCCAGCTTCTTGCCAATGAGTTTGTGGTTAAGGATGCTACGAGCAACTGACAGACTGGCCCTCTTGGACTGCTCCATCATACCCTTGAATAAAAGAAAGGACAGTCCCACGTCAAACAGAGGACAGAGCACAAAACATTGAACAGCTGTCATTACAGTACATCCAAGTTTTTAACAGCATTCTAACTGATCCAGTCAGTACAGGACTTCAGTGGAGTACTCCCAAGATCACCCTCCCACACCAGAGTTAATTTTAACATGACTAAATAAAGAGTAGCTGATTCAACAAAAACTGTACATGAAATTTTTTAAGGTCTTCACAAATCAGTTAGCTAAAGGAATTAAGTTTTCAATGGAAAAATGATCCAGTGGGAGATGATCTGCCATACCTTCCGATTGTAGTTATGGTCAGGAGACTTGATGTGTTTCTGTATCAGGTGGGGCTGCATGGGAATGAAGAGGTCACATGCTGCACAGTGAGCAGCCTCCACCTTCCTCATGAAGTGCTCCATCCCAAGATCTACAGATGTGTGAGGAATATTTGCAATCAGCAATCATTTCTCTATGAAATTGGGTAGACACACACACACACACACACACACACAGCTTACCCCTGGTGAGGTCCTGTTCTTTGTACACCTGACAGATGGCAGCACTGTGGTTTTCCAACTGGCTGACCCTCTGCTCTGTCTTCTTAAACTTGTTCTGCAAATACTCCTACAAGGAGAAAGGAACACAGTTGGATTGGTTAACACCTCATACCATGCAACTTTTGGCATTCAGTGACTCAGGTGACCCTGGTGCATGTTGAAAAAAATTCTGTCAGACATTTCCTGTCAAGCTAACCTTCACTTGTATCAAAAATAACCACAACCTCTAAACTCTACAAGCATTAACAGCTCAAACTAGCAGGTTTATGCAGTTGTCGTTCCAGTCCCTTTTATATCCTGAGTGAAAGTTTTTCAAATTAGAAACCACAACTGGTAAAACTTACCACAAAATGAGTTTAGTTTTACAACACAGTGAATCTTGTAGTGAGATTCTTTTGCCAACTTGTAAATCTTGCAATAATTATATTGAGAAGCTAAGGGGGTTCCTTTAAGTAGGACTTTGATGACACATCCCTTTAATACCAGTGACAACTGCAAATATACTGCAATGCAATTTACTGCAATAACCCAGAAATGAAAATCACCTTTGTTAAATTTATTTAAATTTGTTGAGATTCAAGTATTGAACTACATAATATTTAAAGTATATATATTTGAACGGAAAGCAAACTTTGACTTGTAAAAAAATATGATTTGGGGACAGCCCCATTTCTTGTACTACATATGTAACCTTAATCACATGTTGCTAAAAAAGCAAAGTGTCCAAAAGCTGTCAATGTGAAATATATGACAAATCTCAATCACCTGTAGGAAGTCTGTTGTGGGCTTGGACAGTTGGCTGGAGAGGAACTTAAAGTGGTCCTTGTGGAAGCGACTTTCTAGATGCGTTTCCATTTCCTCCTTGTAGAACGAACGGAACTTGCAGACGGAGCATGCAAACATTACTCTGAAAAAACAATTCAGAGTCTTAGTCCTAAAATCCATCAAAACAGGAACAGTAAAGATGAAATGTAGATGAAACCCACGTGAAAAAGGCAAGGCATTTGGGGTATTTAGTTTATCCTCTCACCTTTCCAAGAATCCCCTTCTCTTTCTCATTTTTGGGTGCTTGTCCTGACCTTGGGTTGGGGTCTGCTTGCCCTGAAGCTTTTTCTTCTCCTCCTGTTTAGCTAATTATGAGCACAAGAGCAGATGTTAGACATGCCATGATTTCCATGAGAGGCATATAATACAATGAAGCAGCTGATGTACACTGACAAAGCACAGCATAAAATATACATCAGTGAGAAGCAACTGTATTTAAGCTTACCTCCGTCTCCATCTTCAGCAGGTTTTGTCTCCTGTAAAAAAACGTATTGCATTATTTAGAAAAGCGGACTAATAAATTCACTTAATTTTTTTTTATGATTGGTTTAGGAATAAAAATTTTTTATCTTTACAAATTGGTGATGTTTGAATTCTTTTAGCCTAGCTTCATTTCCTGTGCAATACTCCAGTTTAGGAATACCCCTGTGATCTAGCCAGTCAAAGTTGTCATATTCTACAATTAACACAGGCTGTAGTCAAAGTCAGCACCTCTACTTGCAATGAAAGCCATTATGTTTCATTTAAATCTGTGCCAGTGAATTAGAGATACTGAAAAGAACAGAAAGAACAGTGTGTTGATTTCTGCCTTCTTTACCAGTGCTGGGTGAGGCTTTTATCTAATAAACTGTTGCTGTTATAGAAAAATATGATCTCTTCCTAATTTGCTTTTTGTTTTAAATAATACCAATTAATTACATTTGAAGAGACACTATGTTGTTCAATTAAATCAAGTGGTTCAGAAGTTTATTGATGTGGGAACATTAATACACGCATGAAGAGCCACTATTTGGAGATAAAAAAAGAATCAGAGCTTCTATCAAATAACCTCAATCTGCTCACCTCAGCTGCAGCCTTTGGTTCACTGTCATCACCATTTTTCTCAGCTTGCTCTATAAAAACAGACCACATAAAACATTAGATCAAGACAGATATATAAATGCTATCTGCCATATAAAGAGATTGTTTATTTTGAGTATACCACAAATGTATTTTGGGTGGTACCTTGGGTAGCTTCAGACTCTGCACTGTCTGTCTTGTTTATCTTTGACTCTGGCTCATCAGCTGCAGTAAGTGTCTGTTTTCTCTTCTTCTGGACATCACGTTGTGGCTTCACCTGCTACAGTCAACAAAAATCAATTTGCACTCACAATTACATTTTCTGACAAAAAAAACCCAAAACAAAACAAAAAAAAAAACAGGCAATACAACCAGAACTCATCAACGAATTCTAGACTTAATTCTAGTCAAGGCCAATTAGCAGACTTCATACGTCTTTCTTCTCTAGGCATTTCCTCATCAATGGTGTTAGCCTTATTTTAAGACTACCCGGGATTAGGGCAAAAAGGAAATCAAAATAAAAGCTACAAAGTGAAATCAACATCCCCACAAGTAAACAAGACAAAGAACTGGGCAGAGAGAAGCGTCACTTGACTTTACTAAACAAAAAGGGCCGTTCCATGAAGAATTTCTGACCACATTAAATAAGAGCTGGGCAGAGTTTATATGAGCAAGTGATGTGTCAAATGTGTGTCGGGGGTTGTTTGTGGCAATAGCAGGTACTTGCACTTTAGGCTGACTTGCCAGTTGGTTGAGGATACAAAAAGGAGGGAATCAGAAAGGGCTTAACTTTTGCCCAGTGTCTGAGGAGGTCTTATTTGGCTGGAGGTACTTACTTTGTTGAGGGGTCTCTTGCGGCCTCGCTGGCGGCCAGCTCGTGGGCCCCCTCCAAAGTGCCTCCCAGGGAAGTCGTGAGGCCCTTGGGTGGAACCCTGATGGAAGCCCCCACTCTCAGGGTACATGCGGTTGGACAGGAGGGATGGGAGCTTGCCTCTACCACCTCCTGGAGAGTGGCCGTGGTGGGACTGGCCACCACTACCACTTCCCCTTCCACCGCCTAATGGAGTGGGATCAGACCTGCGGCTTCCAAACCCTCCTCCAGCTCCTCGACCCCCGGCACTTCCACCCCTTCTGGGGGAACGTCGGCCTGCTCCAGCCCATCCTCCACCTCCAGAACCTCCTCCCTGGCCACTGTTGAAGGACTCCCTCATATTCTGTCGCATTTTAGCGACTCCATAGGAAGAGGAGGGGCTGTCAAAGCCTCCTCCTCCCCCGAGCCCCATTCCCCCTCCGAAGCCCGAGCCTCCTCGCTGACCCAACAGCAGATTGTCCCCACGGCCATCACCATAACCATAGCTACCGCCGCCAGATCTGTAGAGATCTCGGGAGGAGGTGAGAGCGGAGGTGCGCGAGTCGAAAGACTCGTACTGGTCAAACCTGCAGGAGGGAGGGAGAGGATTGATAGAGAGAAGCAGAGAGCAAGGGAGGCAGGGAGGGCAGTCAGGTTTGGATTTCTCCACCTGCTATTCCTTTTCCTCCGTGGTCTCGCTTTCTCCATTTTGTTTTTTTGTCACTCCCAACTTTATTTCATAAACCACATTAGATCAGAAATGAATGATCCAAAACAAGTTAACACTCTGCTTGTGGTCTTATATATATAATAATGACATTTCTCTTATCATTTAGTTTAGTTTCATCCAACCACAGTTTCTGTTGGAGGTCAAACAGTATCCTGCAGATTAAGGAAATGCAGTTTCTTAAACCCAATTCCTTGTTAAAAGGATAGGCTGTGAATCCTTGAATAGGCATTAACATGGTCCGTCAGAACCAGTGATGCCCTGAGACAAGTGCAAGAGGTGAAATATCCTGGAAAGTGACAGGATTATAGTGATTACTCAGGGAAGGGGATGGAATATAAACTGGTCTTTTTTTCCAGGATTAAGGACATTTTTGTAAATACAGCAGGCAACCTTCAATACACATTTCAGCTTGACAAAGTAATATCAAGCTAATATCTGAAAACTCATCACCCTTGTGCAACCTAAAGCCAGAACACAGGGTTAGGTCACATGGATGATGAGAGAAACAAAGTGTATGAACAAATAAACACAAAGTCAAGACAAAAGCAATGTTGAAGGAGTGCTAAATAAAGATGGGCTGGCTTCATGTGCAAGGATGTCAATCTGTTACAAATCAAAAAGCTGGTCTGTAATTGCGCCTTCAACGAGGGGCCATGCATTTTCAGAACGTCTAAGGTTTTGAGGGATCACAACATTTCTTCCCAGCAATCAGACGAACAACGACATAGCAAATGGGGAGCAATCAAAGCTTCCTCAGATGCTGAGGCATTCAAATGCAGCCTGTGAGCAACTCACACCCTTTTCAACCCAAACAGGATTTGAGGCATACATAGTTTCACCAAGACTGAGTGTGAAATGTAAGTAAATGCCTTAGCAGGCTAAAACAGCCCAATTTACTGGAACAGCCTCACCATTCTAAAAACAAAACAACTAACTTTCCAACCACGTTGACAGGGCCTTGTTTTTTTTCTTAGATTTTTACAGAACTCTGTTCTACTACAGGTCCCTAACTAGGGGAAGACTTTTTGACTTTTAAGTTACCAATAGCATCAGAAGGCCAAAGCATCTTTAACATCACAGCAAAATGTGAATCAAGACATTTACTGAGATCCTTTTTCAGATGACTCTAAAAACAAGCAACACTTAACTGGTTGGATACTGTCCAGGCATGACGTAACATTCAGACACAAAACTCTCAACCAACGAGATACCACATTATGACATGTGCTATGTCATTTAACTTCAAGCATGAAAGACACTAGTGGGAAATTTAATGTAATCTTACTGGCATGGATGTGTGGTAGTAGTATCTAACGGAAGACGACCGTATGGATCAGAATAAGTAAAAAAATGCATTACCTGTCACCCCGAGACCCTTTCAACCCCCCCTCCAACTGAGTGAGCATGTCCAGGCGCTGGTTGATCTTTGCAATGACTGCATCTGCATGTGTGCCTGTGGATGAGAGCAGGGATGCTCCCGAGAGACCTCTCTTCATGTGGCCTCCTCCTCCTCCTCCATAGCCCCCGAGCCCAGACATCGAGTCCTTATAACCTCCCCCATACAGGTCAAAACCACCAGAACCTAAAATAGTCAGGAATGAATTATGGTAATGTGACCACTATCACCTCCCATACTATAATAATAATAGATCAGTGGGGAAACAACTGGTCATTTATTCAAAATCCAACTGACAGAAAATACCTATTCAGATGATACTTAACATCTAAATGTCCCTCTCTCTTCTTAGAAAATGACTTTCATTCCTTTCCAATTATTGATTAAATTATTTGGAAAAAAAGTCATACTATGGTTACAATAGTACAGTTGTTACTACAATATCAATAGCAGTATTCAGTCAAAATTACATCTGATTTTGTCAATATCACCTAGTTCCATAACAAAAAAAAGCTTGGTGTTGGCTGCAACCCTAAAGCAGTTGATTGAGTGTCTTTATGCCATCATTTAGTGCAGGAGTGAATTCCTTACCTCTGCTGCCTGACCCTCCACCACCTCCCCAACTGGAGTAACCTACAAAATTTAAAACATTGGTATTAGCAAACTGAGCATTAATAAATGGTGACGTTTCAAACTTAATCTCCTAAAACATTTGGTCACCATCGCGCCCATATGGCTGTGTAGATTCTTTTCTGTAATCCAAGTGGTAATTTGTTGATTAGAATAAAATGCAAAATCGTCAGGACTCACCGACCGTAAGTCATATGTAATTAAACAATGAATCTAATAGCTGTCTGTTTATCTGATTTAGTACAAAAGTTGAATTCGCTACTGTCTCCGAGACAGTATTTGTGACTGTAATGTAAAGATAATAATAGGTTTTGAGGACATTTTTGTTGAGGCGGCCATTTTAATAACTAGCCTTTAAAGTTTCTTATTCCATCCTGACTCCATTTTAACAGAATTAGCCTGCAAACATTCTCATAGCATCTAACACGCCCTACACCAACCCAACAATGGGCCACACAACCCTCTATGTTAGCATATTAGCAAATAAACAGTCTGTTGGCGAAGTGGCTAACCTAGCAAGCTATGTTTCGTCAATGTTGGCTTGCAGGCCTATTTTTTCGTTTCTTCTAGCATTTATTAATCTCATTATTACCACAACAGGCAGGAAATTATTACTTAACAGCTAGCTAACGTCTCTTTGTTTCAAGCTACAGCAGGATATGGCTTGACTGGTGTTGCCGGCAAGCGTAGAATATGAAGATGCTACATAGATGTAGCTACACGGCTAACATAATGAGACGATGCTACATTGATATATGGCTAACCGGAATACTCATTTAAAAATAGAGCCATAGTAAATGTATCTGCACTGGAGGTTAGGCAATATCACACCAGTGCGATGTCTAGTTGTCCGTGTGTATTTACCAGAACCGTAGCCTCTGCCGTCCATGATATTTTAGTGCGCTGTTCAGACAATGCGATCGACACGAGCAGCGGGAGGTCCGGCTGCTGTAATACCAGAAGCCGAGTGTCGCTCCTCCGAAGCGGCAAGACGTATTGACTCCAAGGCCTCGTCACGTCACACGTATTTGGTGACGCGTTCCACCCACGTATAATTATCATGGATGTATTATACATCCATGATAATATAATATAATATAATATAATATAATATAATATATCTATGATAAGAATGTTAAACAGTCAGACAGAGATTAATTCTTTTTTCGGCAGGGTTAACCGAGATAAATATTAGTATTAGTATATTTTAAAAAACCTTTGTGCAATTTAATGCCTTCACAATCCCACCAGCCACCATCTGGATGGGTAGATTAAAAATGATTAATTAAATTAAATTAATACCCTTGCTAAAATTGACATGTGAAAGAGGAGGACCACAGACACACAAACTTGCTCTTTTCTTCTTCTTTATTCAAACAACATAATGTTAAATTATTCATTTGCAATAATAATGCCCCAAACCCAGGGACATTCAGTCAGTTGCCACAGCTGATAGCTTCCAGTCATGAGTTCAGTAGCAGAAAACTATTCTCAAACAGCAAGGGCGACAACTTGACAGCTGGATGGTACGTTGGCTTTGGTTTTGAAATAGTTTTAATCTATCTTCAGAATTAATACATCATGGTAAAAGATATACAATAATAAAAAAATAAAAATAAAGGTGAAGGGAACAAGGGAGCAAAGAGGCTTGTACAAAGTTATACTCAGTATATAAAAAATATTTTCCTTCCTGTAATTATATTAGACATTATTATCAAACAAAAAAGGCAAAACAAACAAGAATATTAAGTAATAATGAAACAAATATTCCATTAAAAATTAAAATATAACAAGAAAAAGATTTACTCATAACATTTATGATGCAAAACTGAGCAGATTTGTTTTCTGATGGTGGCAGTACGCAGCATTTCACTGCTTGTTTCACAGAAAGTTAACAAGAGCATCTGACAAAGTTGAACTAATATAAGTGTTATAAACACGCAACAGGCCCTTATGAACAGATATGTGAATCTGCAATAGATATGAGCCTTTTATGTAGCTGCCAGTGGTTGTTAAGGCAGGAAATAAATATCATCAAGTATAGGGGTAAATGAGACCTTGCAATGTCGTTTCGCAACTACTCTTTGCAGTGCTCAAATCATGTCTTGCTATCTTTATGACCAAGACAGACATTTTATCTGCACTCTGCAAAGCCCCCTGCACAGATATCTAGAAATCCAAGATGAGATTATACAGTGTCTTGCTGCTGCTCTGCTGGTTCCGTCGGTGTTGCAGGATTGATGGGCGTGAGTGCAATGCTCTCATACAGCATGTCCTAAACCGAAGGACAGAGACAACAGATGACGGAGGGGGCATATATGGATACACACAAACAATCATTTCCAGGTCTCGGGTTTTGTTCTCACCTGTCCAGTTTGTACTTTGTCTGTTTCACTTAGTTCAGTAGTGGAGGTCAGAGTTTTCCTCTTCCTGGATTTTTTTTGTTATGTTATGAAAATTATTAATGTTAAAAACAGACTTATTTAGTCAACAAGAAGATTTTGAATACAGGAAATGAAAGTACAGGAATGGAAATAGGAGCTTTTTTACCTCATCAACAGGTAGAGGACAAACACAGCGGGCAGGATGAGTAATAAAAGAATCAGTTTTACTGCATTCAGTATTGATACTGATTTTGCCAGGGCTGGGCAGGGATAGATATGAGATGTGAGTCAGTAATGCAACATATTTTAAAACAATTAACATTATTTTGTACCTTTTTTCTCCCTTTACTGAAATCATAATCTCTGGAGTTAAGTGCCTGCCTGCTTCATTCTTTTCTACTAAATGTAAATGAAGTGTCCTTGTTGAATGGATGGAGTCACAGTAAACGTTTGTTTTGATGGTGGATCACAGTCATGTTGGGTGACTGATGTAATTTATGTCAAAGAAAATGTATGTATGTGAAAGTATTTAAAACCATGCTCACGTGTGACAGTGAGAGCCTCTTCAGATGAGCTGACGTTGTGGGGAGTTGTGACAGCACAGGAGTAGTGCCCTTCATGCTGAGTGCCAACTGGGTCCAGAACCAGGTGTTTGTTTTGGTTTCCTGGCGGTGTCAGAGGTTGACTGTTCAAGTACCAAATGTAGTCAGTGTCTTTAGGGAGAGGACAGCTGGTACCGCAAGTGAGTGTGACTCTCTGGCCCTCTGTCACCACTGCAGAGGGAGTCATTGTCACTGTCAGGCCTGAAAGGTGATTAGATTGCTCATTAAATTATATAGAAAATAGGTATGATTAAGCTTTTGTAATACCATTTATTTCAGAGAACATATAACATGCAGATTTAATGAAACAACAGAGCAAGCAGAATCCAAGGGCTCCCATCCAGAAGCTCCTGGCAACTTTTGAAAAGATTAAAAAAATTGAACCATATTAGTTGTGTGCTTATGTCCACCAATTTTAATGCTCACATAGTTTTTTAATTAAGTTTTTTAGACATTAATTGCCTTGTACAGACATTAATGAGTATAATCTTCAGGCATCTGCTGGCACAGCGTGAAGGAGTAATAGATTCTGAAAGATATTCAGGTATTTTAAGATGAAGAATTACCTGTGACAACTAAAATCACTCCAGATAAATCAGACTTCTTCACTTTTCCGTATCGATCTTTGAATACGTATAGTCCCGAGTCACTCTTCTCCAGGTTAGTGATTCTCAACATATGGACGTTTATTATGTTGTCATCATACTCCACACGACCAGGATCCATGGATCCATTTCCAACATTGTGCTCACCAGGTATATTTATTTTATACCATGGTACCAGAGGTAAAAGTTCGTCTTTGGATTGTGAGTATTTAACTGAAATGTTCACTGAGAAACCTTCCAGGGCACACATTCTCCTGCTGGCATAATTACTGATCCAGCAGCGATTGTCTTTTGGGCCTGGAAAATAGATGAAAGACTTTTAGTAGCAGCTAAATTTAACCAGTCTCATCTTTTTTATACACGTCCTATTTTCTTCCAACAACTTAATTGGAAAGCAAGTGCTCATTTACTTAATATGGCTGTGGACACATGAGCCTGGATAATAAAACACTGACAAAATTAATTATGTAGTAAGTGGTTTTGACTTGCCAGTTGGAAAACAGGTCAGTGACCCAATCAGAAGGAGGAGGATCAGAGCCTCCTCTCCTCTGATTGGCTCACTGACCTGTTGTTACTAGAGCTCCAGAGAGAAGCCTGATTTAATTTTTGACTTTCTAATTTCTAAATACTTGAAATTGAAAGATGATATTTGATGAAATTCCTCAAACTGGTGTTAATATCAAGTAAGTAAAAAAAAAAAAAGTTGGTTCCTACTCACATGTGTTGTCAGAGTGCAGATATTTATGGCCTTTTATAGCACAAGACACGACTTGATAAAAGGAGCCCAACACTGTTACGTGTTGACTCTCACAGTCAGTGTATAGTTCTTGGTTCCAGTACCACACATAGGTATTTTGAGGGTCAGCCGCAGGACAGCTGCTGTTGCAGGTCATTATGAAACGGTTCTTCATTTCAGTCTTTTGAACATGCACCTCTGTTGGGAGATGGGAAAATACAAGTTTCATCATTCACTGTGATGTATATATATATATATATGTGTGTGTGGGGTTGAATGGTATGTCAGTATGTCTGCGGAGGTTTGGCGAAACTGAACCTGTGGGATATGTGAAGGAGCAGGGCTCATCCTCTGAGTTGTTCTGATAAGAACACATTCTCCCTTTGGCATAGGTCACATTGAAGCAGGTTGATGTGACAGAATCTGGACAAGAATACATGAATAGTTGAATTTAATAATAGTAAGATTTGCATGTTGTTGAGTTGAGGTTTTTAATATCACTCACCCACTGAGACTTCAGGGGCTCTGTGATCCTCGTAGCCTTTGATAGCACAGGAGTATCTGACTGTTTCCTCGCTGCTGACCAGCTCTTGGTACCAGGGAGACCAGTCCTGATAGAGAGGCTTTCTGTTCTTGTACCAGATGTAGCCTGCAGGGTTTTCAGTCAGAGGACAGCTGGTGCTACACATCAGTGTCACTGCCGTTTCCTCTGTGGCAGGAATCACCTTTACCTGCAGGTCTGAGAACATGATTTATAAAATAAGAATTGATATATTTCTTCGTCTTAAATTGACGAACAACAGGAAGCCACCGTACCTGCGACATGGAGCTCTGTTCTGCTTCGCCAGCAGAGTTCTGCTTCCTCAGTAGTTTCGCTGCAGCAGTAAAACTTTGCATCACTCTCTCTCAGATGTTTGATTGTTAGCGTTAAATTATTCTCTTCAGAAATGTTGTACATTGCATTCCCATCTGTAGAGAGCTCATTCAGGACAAACTCAGTGTGACTCCAGTGTACGGTGAACCACTTCATGCCCGAAGTGGGATGTTCAGCTGAGCAGAGCAGATCCACTGATGAGCCTTTTACAGCACAAATGCTTTTTCCTTGTCCCCGAACCTCTGTAATGGAGGACTTTATTAGGAAACATCTAAACAGATGTATATTTTATTACTATTGAATGTTTACTTATCACAACGATATGATATACAAAATATTTCCACACATGTCATCAGTTCTTTCAAATTACCACTCCTACAGTATATGCAAAATATTGTTCATTCCCTGCTTTGTTTTTTATGACAGTTATATCACACCTATTATACAGTACATATCATGTAGTAGGAATGTATTAAAATGGGTAAATGATATAGAATACCTGACATGAACAGGATGAAACCCAAAAACACACATCCAGCTTGTGTCAACAGCATGGCTGCTGTAGTCCTTCAGTTTCTGATCAGAAAATTGATTTAATAACATAATTTGTATCTGATTTGTCAGAACGACAGCATAAAGAATATTCATGAAATACCAAAAAAATGTAACTCACCAGTGAACGTGGACAACAGTCTTTGGTTGCAGAGAACAGAATGGATTCGTGGTAAGAGTGAGGGTAGGAGTCAAACTGCAACATGCAGCTGTG